CCTCCCGCCCCCCCCCCCCCCCCACCTACAATTTTTTCTGGTGAAGTCCCTACTTCTGAGAGATATGTGGTTTGTTTCATGTTGACATTGCTAAAAATACTTATCTTAGCAAGCTCAAGTATTTATCAACATACGTATATATTTCCAAACTAGTTGACACTATAATATTGAAATTAAATGTACTAGAAAAATAATCATGTAGAAATTACACTTAATTGTCCTATCGTCTATCACAGTGTGATAATGCCGTACGTTTCGGAATTGTGCTAAAACGAACTAACTAACTAACGTCGGCATCTACAATAAAGATGTCGCACACATAATAGAATTAACTATTAACAGCGATAAGAATTTTTCTTCTTAATTAAAGAAGAAGAATTTCAGTCTTTAATTAATTTTTCAAAATCAAAAAAATGTTGAGCTTAATTATTCAAACGGACATCCTGATCGAGTCAAATAGCCCGAGTTCTAACATGGCACTCTCTAACACACAGTGACAACATATGATTGGAAAAAAGAAATTTTTAATAACAATAACGATCATATTATTCGGTTGACACGTGTTTTAATGTCTGCATTATGAATAAAGTGATTATAAAGCCAATAATCTTATTGTTTCACAATCGATCGAGAAAAACTATCTCTTCTCATTAGTTTGATTTTTTGGTCTTATCTCTATTCAATATTGACCAATCACTTGAACTGTATTCATATACAAACTAAATATTTGTCTTCCTCGACTTTTTCTTTTTTGTTTATTTTTTTTAATGTATATTTGTTTTCGTTATTTCAGACAACAGTCTTTGTCCTCGTTCTACCTACTGCTACAGTTATTCGTGTGTGCAGTTTTTTGTTCGATTTTCATTCCTACATATTAGCGTTCGTTTGCTTCAACTTCCCTTTTTGTGCATTAATTACATTAACAAAATAAATTCGTTATTACATATACACGCACACACATCATGTAAGTACTTCATTAATGAAAATTTCCGATGACAATTATCGATCAAAAGAAACTAGGTTATTCATTTTTCCTTTTTTTCATTTCTCTCTCTCTGTCTCTTCAATCTAGTTCATATAAAATGACGACAAGACATTCGGATAATGACTTCGATACATCTCGTATCGGTCAAATATCATCAGCATCACCGGCTCGTGATAGTGGTTATATTGAACATACCAATAACGGCCAAGGTGAAAACGGTTATAGTGTTGATATAAATGATAGTCAGAATGTAAACTTATCACAAACAGGTTATTCGCAAGGCAGTGGGAGTGGTGCTGGCGCATCGTCTGGCTCAAAACCTGAAGATGAAAGAAAATTATTTGTTGGTAAGTTTTCCAATAAAGAAAGAGGAGTAAGATCGAAAGTGAAAGAAATACGAATATATTGTTTTATTTTCAGGTGGTTTGACGTGGGATACAACACAAGAAGATTTACGTGAATATTTTTCTAGTTTTGGTAATGTTCTTGATTGCTCAATTAAACATGATCCATCAACAGGACGTAGTCGTGGTTTCGCTTTTCTCGTATTCGATTCCAAAGATATTGTTGAAAGAATTCTTTCTCAAAACGATCATTTTGTTAAAGGACGTAGAGTTGATCCGAAACCAGCACATCGTCGTCTAAATGCAGCTAACAATCAAATGAATAATATTACTAATAATAATGTATCATCACAATCTTCTCTATATGGTGTTGGCCCAACATCAGCAGTGCCTTATACCAATATGATGATGGGCGCAGGTGCTAGTGCAAATCCGTATAGTAATAATCGTAAAGTATTCATTGGTGGCCTTGATCCAAGTTTTCCTGATACAAAATTACGAGAATATTTTTCAAAATTTGGTCAAATTGATGGTAAAAGATATGAATAAAGACTGATGTAAAAAATAAAAGTATTATTTTTTTGAAATAGAAATCGATCTACCATACGATAAAGAAAAAAATGAACGACGTCCATTCTGTTTTATTTCATTTCAAACTGAACAAGCAGCACAAGAAGTACTTCGTTTACAACGACATACCATTGGCGATATCAGTGTTGATGTTAAACGTGCTAAACCAAAAACAATGAACAATCAACAACACCAACAATTGCAACAACAAATCTATGATCCATACGGACAGCAAGCTACGTATTCAAATTATGGAGCTGGCGTACCATCGTATGGCCAAAGTGCTGCTTATCAAACACAGGATGCGTAAGAACGTTTGTTGATTATCTTTATCATAAAATAAGAAATAAACATATCTATAGTTAGGACACTAAAATAATTTTTTTTCTACCTGGCAAAATTTTTTTGTTTGCTTACCCACTGTCAAAAAACAAAATATGCGTGCCTAATCAATCCGGATGACTTCGGGCCATACCTGAATGCACTTTATAATTGAATTTTTTGCATTTTTATGCAATCTTCTTAAATTGATCTTAGATATCGTATTGCACTTTGTAACAAGGTTACTGTTTATGTTAAAAGATTAGAATTTTGAAAATTTCAGCGTACGTGCCAGGTTTTATAGTAATAGATACATAAGTAAAATTCTAATATAATGAAGAAAAAACAGTGGAATTAGATTAGTATTATATATAAATAATAATCCAGTAGATGATGGATGATTCTTCGACGTTCGTTTATTTCTTGTTGATCATTAGATGCGTTCCATAGGCCTCTTGTTAAAGATAAGGATTCGTAATATAAAATTTCTCTAGATAAAAATACCAGATATAATTTATCAAGCACGCTTGTCTATCATCAATCAAAATAAAAGACTATGTCATACAAAATCATTTTTAAGACATTCTAATAGTACTGAATCAATTATCACTACATTTCTAGCTATACTCATTGGAATGCTTACACATACAATCAACAGGCAAATCCTGCAACATACCCATATGGTAGTTCTGGTTCAACAGGTGCTCCTAGCCCTGGACCATCATCTTATTCTCAATATCCAGAGCATCAATCGAATTCTCAGTATCAATATACATCATCGACCACAGCAGTAAATCCCAGCGATTATTACTCTCAATATGGTTACGGGGCTCCACAAACAACAGGTGTTTATGCTGAACCCAATGGTAAATTTTAAACTGCTTGTCTTTAAAATCCATTTTTTCCTTTCTATAGCCTATAGCGCTAGCTATGATTATTCCTCATACTATCCATCAATGAATACAGGTATGAGTGGTACAATGGGCGATAGTGCTACTGGACAGCAAACAGGTAATTCACCGGGTAATCAAAATGATTATGATCACGACAATCACCATGGAAAATCCAAAACAACCATTGTTGCCAGTCCTACTTATCATCCGTATTCTCGAAGTTAGACAATTCTTAAAACATTACACACACACACATGCACAAATTAAAAAAAAATAAGGAACTCGAAATTTTTTCTTTTCTTTCTACAATACATAAACACATCCCGTTGTTACTCTTTGTTTGTTTCGCTTATGGTTTTTTCCTTTCGATGAACGATTTTGATATATGCGCGAGATGAGAATGTATTTTTTTGTTCGGGAAAACTAGAAAAAATTTCTATATATACACGCACACACACTTACACAGACGTCCATAAAAAAATGTTGTTGTTGTTTGTTGTTTGTTGTTTTCTTGTTCTCTCCACATGAACACCCGGTGTAAATAGGAAAACGTTTTTTTCTGTCTTTTTTCTTGTTGTTGTTTTTTTCTTTTTTTCTATCTCGCGTGTAATTATCAAGCTGCCTAAGTTGCTTTGCTTGTTCATATTGTACTATGCGTGTGTGTGTGTTTTTAACGAAAAAGACTAATTTTTCAAGAACCGTAAACGATAAAAGAAACGATAAATAGCAAAAAAAAAAGAAGAAACAAAAGAACGCTAGTAAAAAGAAGAAATAAAAATAAAAAGCAACAACAGATTCTGTTTTTTTGTTTATTTGTTTTCTTCTTTGTTATTCGATTTTGTTTTTTCTGGACAATGGAATAGATGATAGCTAACTTGTTGATTATGGTTGCTCTTTTCGTATTTTAGATATTGTCTTTGTTTTCGTTTTTATTTTACATTGTTATACTGTTGAGAAACAAAAAAAAGAAAAGAAAAGACATTCGTAGATCAAAGATATTTTATTTTCTAGATAAAGTTTATATTAACTTTTTATCTCTTAGCTATCAACATCAAATAATTTACAATACTAATAAATGTAAGTCTATGATTAATAGTGTTGCTTTTACCTAGTGTGTAATAGTCGTGCTGTTTTAACTGTAGACATTTAACCTTGTTCGAAGGGAAAAGAGAATGTTCGCAAAGTGGAAGGTCGCAATAAAAAATGAAAAATGATATTAATATGGGGACAAACCTAAATAGATTATGTAATAGGCTAGATTTAATAGAGTGTATTGAAAAGAAAAAGCGATCTTATTTTAACAGATCAAATAATTTATACATTCTGCTTAGTAGAATGCATGCATAGAAATAGTTTTTGATGAGTTAACCAATAGAGCATATATTATAAATGAATGAGATTTATCCTTAAACGCGAGTGCTTGATGCGATTCAAGATGTTATGAGTAGTGGCTACTATAAGTTAAAGCTCTTTTTAGCACGACTCAATAATCATCACTTTGAAGATTAATTTTTTACTTAAATATTTAATTCATAGCATGAATAAAAAAGCTTCTTATCCTTAACATCAATGTTTCTCGACTAGATTTTTTTCAACTGAAACTAATAAAAAAAGAAATAAAGAATTTCACCACAAAAAATCATCCATAACTAAAACTATAATTTAGTTCTAGTTAAATAATTTCAGACTGCATTTTTCGCGCACATACTCACAATACCCATCACTTTGATATCGACTAGGAAGATCATATTTTTATTCTTATCATTTTGATTTTAGTTAGTAAATTTTCCAAGCGATAATGTCATCTCTAAATTATGGAAACGGTATTTTGCCGTCGAATGAGGATATGTCAATACCGTCTATTCTGCCGACAGCATCCGGAGCAATAATTCCACATCCATATTCAACTTCAAATACGAATGCGGCTTATGCCGCTGCAGCTGTGGCAGCAGCTGCTGTATCATCTGCGTCGCCATCATCATTAGGTCCATATGGAAATTATTATGGTCATCGATTACCTCAGCAACCACTTTTACATCTTCAACAACCATCGTCGTTCTATCCAACACCAGCTTTAAATCATCTTCAACCTCATGGAGATTTTAGTAATTCATCATCGTCCGCAGCGTCGTCATCAAGTTCAATTGAATCATCACGTAAAACAGCGAATCGTAAACGAACAACAGATAAAATACCAACATCTACAAAATCGAATAACAAGCGAAAAGCAGTATGTTCAGTTGTTTTTAGCCAGTTTGTAGAGAGTGGAAAAACAAAAGATTCAATTTTAATTTCTTTTAGCCAAATAATGATGACGATGATCTTGATGATGATGATGACGAAGAAAATATGTGTGGTTTGCCAGGTTCATCTTTATCAAATGTAATGATGGCGAATCATAATAATAATCCAGACAATGGCGGAATGGGCGAAGAAGATAAAGAAAAACAAGCTCGTGAAAATCACTGTGAAATCGAGCGACGTCGCCGTGTTAAAATGGCAACGTATTTTGCTGAATTATGCGATATGGTTCCGTCATGTTCTAATCTAGCACGTAAACCTGATAAATTAACTATACTACGTATGGCCGCTCAATTCATGAAGAATATACGTACAAATAATAATACATTGGCTTTGAATTCAACTCAAATATCTCAACAACAAGATCTGCATAAACCATCATTTCTTAATGACCATGAATTAAAATATTTAATGGTTGAATCATGCGATGCTTTCCTGTTTGGACTTAATTGTGACAGTTTACGTGTTATTTATGTAAGTGATGCTATACAACATATACTGTCGTACACATGTCATGATTGGTATTCAAGATTTATTTATGGTAAGAAATGTGTTCTTGTTGTTTAGATGGACTTGCTTATTTTAATAATTTATTTAGATTTTGTTCATCCGGATGATGTTGAAAAAGTACGCGAACAATTAAATTTACAACCACAAGATGGAAGTCCAAATACGAATGGCAATAGTAGAATTTTGGATCTTAAAACGGGAACGGTTAAAAAAGACGGCCATTCTTCAGGTGCTCGTTTAGGCAAGTTTTTATTTAAGATATTATTTGAGTTTGTTTGCATTTGAAATGAAAAAGTTTTCGAAAGTAAAATTTCAAGCCAATAGAGATTTAAACTTGTTAAATTATTCATTTTTATCGTTAGTTAGTGATAAAGAATATAAAACGTACTTAGAAACTTTCATGAAAAAGCTAATAATAAACAAAGGTCCGAACTCTTTCCAGGATCTAATCGTGATACGGCTAATAAAAATTAATAGCATTAGGACTATTTTCTATTCTTTCTCAAATGAGACGAATATTTATGAGCGTGTCGAAAAATAAAATATTTGATTATTTTATCTAATCTATTTTTTTTCCTTTTCCAGCGAGCTCAAAACGATCATTTATCTGTCGTCTTCGTATTGGTCCAACCAATCCACTTGAGCATACCCATCAAAATCCATTCACAAATCCATCTATTCTACGTCGACGTCATCGCACATGCCTTGGCCCATCCATTGACGGTCATCTCTATGAAGTCGTACATATCAGTGGTTATATTCGAAATTTAAGTACACAGCCATCATCTCACCATGACAATGCAAATCATCATCCATCATCTTCGTCATCGAATTCTAGTGGTCAAATGGCATTTATTGCCATTGCTCGTTTACAAAATTCTTGTTCGCCCAATGTCAACGATTTAACGAATGGTTCAATGTCAACATTTAATTCAATAACAACAGAGTTCACATGTCGTTGCCATTGGGATACAGGTGAAATTTTATTCATTGATCAACGTTGTACACCCATCATTGGTTATAAAAGTCATGAATTATTACATAAAACTATCTTCGAACAAATACATCCTGATGATCATATGAAATTTCAAGATCTATTCAAACGAACAGTAACACAAAAAAATATGCCAGCGACATCCACAAATATAATCATACGTTTTCGTACAAACATTGATAATGAATATATTTCACTTAAAACATCAACATATGCTTTTTGTAATCCATGTACAGATGATATTGAATTTATTATCATTACTTTTCTATCAATTCAACCAACGACAGCAGCAACAACAACAACAACAGCAACAACAAATAAAACATCTGTTATTACCAATTCAAATGATTATAACCGACAAGCATATGATACATGTTCACGCACAACAGCAACAGCGCCAAATCAAAATTCATCTGTACATTACAGTTCTCAAGCCCTAGCAACATTTAATAATCAAGAAGGACAAGATTATTCAAATGTAAATGGAACAAATGATGGACGAACATATGTAAGTAATAATGGTGGTTCAACATGGGCTCCAGCGAATGATAGTTGGACACCGACAGCAGCAGCATCATCAGTGAATAACCCAACAGCTAATACCGATTATGTTGATCCACAAGCAAATCTTGCTCTCTATCATCAATATCATCAGTAAACGTATTGGATTATTTGTTCTTATTATTGACATGAGTGAATGATTTCGAATAACATCGAAGAATTCTTTTTTTTTCTCTCTGCGTCTATTGTACATTTTGCATTCAGATAGTGTTTGTTTTCTTTGTTCTTTTCTTTTTTTGTTTCTTTTTGTTGTCTTTATTTTTCATTGTTTTGCTTTTATCCGAATATCGTTAAAATATTTCTTATTGTTTTGTGTATTTTGTCTGTTATTTGTCTCGCGTTACTGCGACCAATCACTCTATATTTGCATACTTCATTCCCATTTTATTTGCAATAACTTCGCATGCTTTATGTCAGTTTTTGTTTTCAATTTTATCACATCCACACAAAACAAAATCAAATAAGTCAGTAGTTTCGAGTCAGTAAAATCATAATGAATTTTTTTCTTGTCAGTTTTATTTCTTAGATCTGTCTTTTTTTTTCTTTCGTCTTGTACACATTTACATACATCTGTATAATCAATCAATAATAATTAAATAAATAATTGAGAAAAAATGAATAGACATCTAATGCTTCTGTCGCGCATATTGTTGACTTCTACTAACATTGAACATATTCTAGATATGATTCAACATGAAAAGTATATTCATTAACCGTCAATAGCATAAAAGTAAGTCATCAAAATTGGTCTCTTCTTTTATTATCATTGTTTGCATCTATATTGCAACCGTAGCAAATAAACAGAAGGTAAAAGGAAGTATGCACAAATGCACTGATTGCAGTTCACACATGAGGACGCAGGATACAAGCTACAGTTGTATTTTTTTTTTCATTCTGTTATTTATATTTTTATTACACGTTTTTCTAATAAAGAGGGTACGTGACAACTCATGCGTTTCAGAGAATAGCGCGACTGTCCATAGTGAATATCGACATAGGAGATATTTTTCTTTCACGTCTGCACCACATGAAACTAATCGTATAGTTATATTTTTGCGATTATATAATGGTATTTGACTATCGCCGCCTTCGTCGTATTTTTTATGCTTATATTTTTCGGTCAAGTCTAGGCCAAATATTACGCTTTAGTTTAATTCTGATATTTTTATCACTGCTTTTCTTGGGTGCATTAATAAAACAATTCTATGAACCGCGTATTCCATCGCCACAATCTACTCGTCTTCATCCGAATGAACCAATAACAATAAAACGTCGTCCATTTCCTGTTTGTCATCCAAGAGAATTAAAGGTAGCTAATATAACCGTCGAATATTATCGTAAATATCCTGATAAACAAACGCAAGCATGTTTTCTTGTTGAAAATATCGATGGTGGACAATGGTGGTCTTATGTAACACAAGAATTTGCTGAAATTCTTACACATTTAAAAGAAATTGGCGTTGAATCAGGAATCAAATACCGACCGTTTCCGTCAATGAATAATATGAATCGTAGAACAAATCTTACTAAATTATTTTTAAATGCTTGTGGAATGGATGAAAATGTTTCTGTGAAAAATCAAATGCCAATTGTAGCTCTTATGTGGGATATAAATCGGCGTTTGTGGCATCGTTTAAATCGAAATTTCAACGATTTATTTAAAACAACTAGAATACGTTTTGTGACTTTCATAGATGATCTGCATTTTACAGCTATAGGAGGACGGTTGAGTAGAATGTATCTTTTTGAATCTGTCTCATCGGAAATTTTATCAACCTATCCGTATATTTTTCATAATTATTACGCCAATATATCATCAGATAAACTTACCTGGTTACCTCATGCGGCTTCAACATTATCTTATAATTCAATAAATAAATCGGCTGAAAATGTTCTTTTTGTCTCAGGTGCAAATCTTGTCGAATGGTATCCATGTCGTTCTCGTGCATTTGAATTGTGCTATAGAAGGAAAGACTTATTTGCTTGTTTAGAACATCCTGGCTATGGTGAAACAATGAAAAATGATACTTCCTATTATTATGGTGGCCAACGATATTTTTTCTATATGAGAAAATATGTCTTTGGTCTTGCTACATGTCAATCAGTTCAATATGCTATAGCAAAATTATTTGAAATACCAGCTAACGGTCTTGCACTTGTAACAACGAGCGATTTAATTGGAGTACTTGAAAGTCTTCATTTTAATCTTAATGAGCATTTTTTAACAATCGATTGTTCCTCATCGAATCAATTGACTAATGAATTAGTTCGTTTACAAAATACCTCAACGCAAACTATACTTAACATGAGAGAAAAAGGTCAACATATAATTCATGAGCGTCATTTAACAAGACATCGAGCTGCATTGATACATGTTCGTTTATTAGCACAGGCATTGATTGCTTCTACAACTTCTGATATAGAACGCGTACAGTGGGAACAATGGGGCCGCAATTGTTAATAGCTATTGAATACAGCTAAGCAATTGTGCAGATCAGATTTTTTAAAAATTGTGTTGTCAACTCGTTTGATACTTAGTTTTTTTTGAATTTGCTTCTTATCTGCTATGAAACGTTAATGTTTATAAAAGAGAAAAATAACAATCTCAGCTGAGATGGTATAGTAAAACTAATGGGCACAATCAACTACGACGATTATCTAGTGCAAATATCTAAAATCGAAGAAAATAAAATGTCACATTTTCGTGATTAAATTATTCTTTCTAGCCTCTATTGTCTTGACTGTATCATCCGCTAGATATGTCTATTCATGTTAGGAAATAACGATGCGTCTTATAGATTCCGAGTTCTTTGGATTATTAAAGAAAAACATTGCTCGCTTACTCATACTTGATTATATTTACCTTTCTTCTTAGTTTGATTCAGTCAGTAACTATCCTCGTACTTTTTTGCTCTTCCTCTATGATTTCTAATCAACAATCATTATCATTTCCTTGCTCAATATATACTCAATAATTTGGTTGGCTCTCATTTAATTCTATCATGGTTGCATCATCTATAACCTTGCATCAGCAACTGAAATCACATTTATTTCTACATTAATCTCTTCCTGTCACTGTACTAGTCATAGTTAGAACACTACTCAATAAAATAGATTGATCGTACTTTGCTTAATATTAAATTTCAGAACGGAATCATATCGGCATCGTACTAGATTTCCATTTTTTTGCATGATGCAAATAATCTTTCAGCAATAGGAGTAAACATTTTCGAAAATACCAAAAACATCACATCGTCTTAAGCTTTGTTTTTTCTTAGAAAGCTACTGTACGATAGAGGAAAGAACGAAAAGCGCCCTAAAGAGTGTACATATAAGCAAATCGATGAGTACTGTATTTACTTGTAGGGTCGTGTCATAGATAAGGCGATGATTGAGTATTATAAATTACTAAATAATATTTTATCAGTTATTCATGATCGTAGAGAAATGAAATACAAGTTTCCAATAAGAATTTTTATAATTAAATAAGTCAGAACTATACCGCATAGTTAACAGGAACTATAATTAATAGATAAAATCCTTCCATCGCTATGTTTCTTGCTTTCATTCGATTAAACGTGATCGATGATTAGAAAAACCGTTACGCATCATAAATGTGCAGTGCATAACTGCGAATATTCATTCACTTTTTAAAAATATAGATACGACGGGGCAACGTAGAAATACGACAAGCAATTCCTATTTTAATTGTAAGTTTAGAACTGCTGAAAAATATTCTCGAACTTTTGCGTAAATTTATTGTGATTTTTCAGTGTACACTGTATTACGGTTTGTGAATAATAATTAGCAGAGTAAAGAGGTAACTATTATATCTATATAGTTTGAGAAAAAAAATAACCTTTTTATACACCTACGTAGCCAGCGCCTATTTTATCGAGTGTGTCTCTTTCCGAGCGGTTTAAAAAAAACATCTGCCAGCAGCTCAATCAGTCATCTTAGATTACTAGAGTTAGACTTATTATTAATGCTAATTGTAATACGTTTTGTAAAGAAAATTTCTGTCTGTAGTATCTACAAAAGATTTTTTTAGATAGAAAAGCAATGAAGCACTAACATTACTAAATCGAGTAGATGCGTACAGTCGATGGCAGGCAGGTTTTCTTTTTCGATCTAATTGATTCAAAATGAGACGAAGATTTTTATTAATTGATCAAGTTATCTACTACAATTAAGATGTAATCTATCAATACGAAAAGTTTCTATACTCATCATTAGCAACATGAAGCACTTTCAAACTTCCCGTGACAATATTTTTACTACACTATAATAGATTGCTTCTCTTGGCAGGCGATAAAACTAATGTTCATGATTCATCTGAAATATTCAGAATACGAGAAAGATATGAACGTCGATGTGCAAGTAATATTTACTTATATGCTATTTTTCTGCTTCAGCAAAGTTGCTTATGTAATTAACTTCATGCATATAGGTATTGATAAGTTTTTCCATGTAGATATTGCTCTCTCATGAAGACAAATCTATTACATACCGAAAATTCGAAATAAAAGTAAACATTTTTGAATTACAAAACCATCAAAATGCATTTTTTCTACTCAATCGCTTACTAATATTTATCTTTTTCAAATGAAATCATGTTTTTAAACGATTGCTCGCTATGCTCATGTTAAGTAAGAAGTATTTTCTCTTTTATTTTAGATTGAATCAGAGAAGCTTGATGATAAAACTAACGAATACGATACCAACAGGGTAGCCAGATCGAAAATTGAAAAATCAGAAAACGATCAGAAAGGTTTTTTAGGAAAATCCGAAGTTTATCAGAAAGATCATTTTTTGTGAAATAGCGACTTCTGTATAAGATGTTGGCATTAACTACTCCGCATACTTTTATTTCATTGACTGGTACTTCATTTCCAAAGATTTGTCACTATAAAGATGAATATTCATCAATCGATAAAGAATATTTACGAAAAACTCTGTTTTTCGTTTATATGTCGAGATGATATTGCTGTGGCTAATTAATTTACTTCGATTTGTTTCTCTTTACAATCAAATTCTACCATGTTAATATCATCCAATAGATGATTTTATTTTTATTTTTTGAATGTTCAATTAGATAAGATTCTCGAAATTAAGAAAAGAAATTTAACGAATTCTAGTGCATTGCTGTAGCTGAAGCTGCCTATATATATATACAAGTCAGAAATTACCAACGGATAATTGAGAAAGAAAAAGTGCCGCAATATACATCTATAATAGAAATGTGTTGTAATTGTGCTGAACTGCACCAGCAAAACTGGGATCTGAAATAGTTTCGAATTCGAAAAAAAATCAGAATATCAGAAGAAATTCCGAAAGGACTTCAAATTTCAGAAAATTTCCCTACTGTTCAGAAGATCTGGCCACCCTGGTTACCAATGACGATAAAAGCAACTATCATCTATTGATTATTTACTATCGAGTTCACTGAGTAGGTTATCGTTTTTTGTGTACTCAAAAAAAAAAAAACAGTACACTATAGAATCGGTCAGTGTGTCCGGCCGTCCGTTTATTCGATAACTCTTCACAATTACATTCGATTGAGCTGAAATTTTGTGCACAGAATTGTCTCCTCAATATCTAGGTTGAGTTCGAAGGTGAGAAGGATCCGTCAAGAAATGGCTGAATTATCGAAAAAATTGTCATTTTTGATCAGACCATCCCTGAGGGGGACTACAGGGATTTTTCAAAAAAAAGTTTTTTTCTCTGAATTATCCACAACATATATAAATCATCTCAGTTTTTAACGCTGATTCTGACTCTGGTGTCAGTTTTGAACTAAACCGTAGCTTTCTAACGAAACATCGCCTGAAAAACGTCTCAAAATGCACAAAAACTGCATCCAGAAATCAAATTGCCTAGTTTCTCATGATAATTTTGGTGTTCAGACATTCTAGAATGACTCATATGTCCCATGCACTTTTTACAGTACACATAACTCTCGGATGAAATCCGAAGTTTTCACATTTTTGTAGAATGATATCCGTTATTGGAAAGCATTTTCTTCACTCGCACCGTGATCAAAAATTGAATTTTCTTAGTGCACGACTAATGACGCTGTATTAATTCCGATACTCATTCTTAGATATAATCATCACTTCTTGTCAATATTGACAATCATAGCGCACCTGTTTTGTATAAATAATTAAAAGTAACCTGCGAATGAATTTCTTCAGTTCTTGGCTTGAATGTGTTCTTCATAGTTGCTATGTACTCTTGCTGGAAGTTGATTGGTATTTTCGATTTTATTCTAGGATTTGTCTTACAGAATACCAATGAGTATATTTCAATTTATCGCTGAAGATAGCTGGCTGCTGCGATTGATTGCTAACCACATCGGCTACTTTTCATTTGCTATTCCAGTTTTAATCATTTTGATTATTTCGAAAACAACGGCTTATAAAAGATGTAAGTATGAAGAGCATGGATCATTATCTTTTCACAATGAAATTTTAATATTATTGATTGAAAGAGACACAGTCAAATATGCCATCATACTTTTGTTTACTTTTAAAAGTTCGCGCATAGAATAGCTTTGTAATTAATTATAAATAGAAAATACTTGAAACTCGTTACAGTGATAGTTCTAAATGATACTTGTAGTCAGAGATTTTTAAATGAGAAAAGCTGAAGCTATTTTGCCGGTACAATTCTCAGTCACTGAACTTATTCGTATTGTTTACTAAAGTTTTAGTCCCTATCGTGATCTCTATGTTTCATAAATAGACACGTGTTTATCAATTCATATGTTCAGCATTTTTCTTTGATGTACTCAAAATTAGCTAGTCATTCAATCATTTATTTTTAATTATTTTTAGGGCCACAACCGATTCGAGGTGTGATCAGTTTTCTTATTCGTATTTTAATATCAGATCCATCCCATTCCACGTTGCCAGATGGCAGTAATAGAGGTGTATCAGCAGCACTAGTCAAACCGATTCCAACAGCACCAAATTTTACTCGTCACAGAATCTTCAAATTCATTTTCTCATTTATTGGCCTTCAAATTTCCTATGTGTTATGGGGTCTATTACAGGAACGTATGATGACTCGTACATACGACGATGAAAAATTTACGAATTCTCAATTTCTTGTTTTTGCTAATCGACTTTTAGCTATGATGGTTGCTTTTATATCGATGAAAATCTTTTATCCAGTGGAAAAATCAACAGCAACAGGACCACCCTTGTATCAATATGGTATTGTATCATATGCTAATTGTATGTCAACATGGTTTCAATATGAAAGTCTTTTATATATTAGCTTTCCTGTTCAAGTTATTGCTAAAAGTGTTAAAACGATACCAGTTATGATTCTTGGAAAATTTGTCTCAGGGAAAACATATCCATTAAGACAGTATTCATTGATGTTATTGATGGCTGTTGGTATTGCACTTTTTCTATCGGGTTATAGTGAAAATCATACTGGTGCAATATCATCGAAAAGAGCTAAACAAAGCATAACAACATTCAATGGATTGATTTTACTGATATTTTATTTAGTAAGTTTATTGTTCTAAAACGATTTGTGAAAGTTAGATGAGATTACGTACATTCAAGCGATTCAACAAACGAATGCACACCGTTTAAAATTTCTTACCAACACTTTATAAAACATGAGAAATTAAAATTTCTATGAATAAAGCTGATTCTGTTTCTCTTTAAGAGTATACAGATATTTTTATGCCCATAAAGAGTTACAATTTCGTCGTTAGTCTATTATAAAATAAAATATAGTTTTCTATTTTCAGTGATCAAATGAGGTGAAACTAAGGAGCCGAACAGATTTTTTCTAATTGATTTCGATGTTGATAAAATTAGTGTTCTTCTTTTGTTTATTTTAACATTATGTGCAGTAAAATTCTGTACGATATAACACTGAGCATTGCTAGTAGATTTAATTTTGAATCATCGCGAGTTTGGGGTTCTCTTCTAATAACAAAGTTCAGAAGCTTCTCTAAAAGTCCTGAAATAGACCAAGTATAATCTCAAATATCGAACTGAAATTTTTGTCTAAAATCATTCATTCTTTAATAGTTTAGTCCGAATAGACCATTATAGACAGTATGTATTCTGTGAGTGGACCTTTCTTAATAATTGCTTTGAAGTTCTTCGATGCTTTTGAGCATCTCTCACTTCACGTCATTCTTATGACAATTAAAATAAACATACTTTTATTCATTTTAGATTTTTGATGCTTTTACATCCAATTATCAAAAACATCTATTTGATCATTATTCAATATCGTTTCTTCATATGATGTTTTCTGTCAATATTATTTCAACAGTTCTTACGCTTACATCTCTTGCTCTTAGTGGTACTCTATTTGAATGCTTATCTTTTCTGCAACGACATCACCTATTTATGATCCATGTATTCGCAACATCAGTATGCTCATCGATTGGGCAGCTATTTATATTTTCAACAATACAAGAATTTGGTCCAGTTATGTTTACAATTATAATGACCATGCGACAAGCACTGAGTATTCTTCTATCGTGTCTATTTTACGGTCACCAATTAAGTTGGATTTCGGTTGTTGGCATCAATGTAGCGTTTTCAGCTATTCTTACTCATGCATTTATTCAATTCAAAAGAAGCAAACAATTGAATAGTAGTATCGTTTAGAGTCGAACAGAGAAACTCTTCGCTTTGCTTTTGTTGTAAATTCAGCGCCCGGTGCGTATGATTTTCCATAGCTTCTGTATAAAACAAGAAACAAACAAGTAGTAAAAGAGAATTGCTTTTATAGCAATTAAAAATAGTACTGCAATTTCTCTTCAAATTCAAACAAGTGTTTTTTTTTCTTTCCTCTGCCAAATGTGTTTTCACAATGAATAGTCATTTTGTTGATCAGTTTCATCGTTGATTTTCATTATAAACTATTAAAATGATTCATATTGCAAACTTAAAATAGTAAATTTTAATTCGAACAAAAATTATAAATAAAAAAACATAATTCACTAGATCTTGATGTAGTAATTCAATCCACAAATATTTCCTGTAATCAATTCAATCTTATGTAATACAGACGGATAGGTTACATGTCAACAGGCAATAAAAGATGAAACTTGTAGAGATTCATCGAAATATATTATTGCGAATCAAGCATAGTATCGAAAAATAAAATTTTAATCAATTGCTGCAATAAAGAAAATAATCTTCTTTTGTTTACCGGAAACAAGAAACCGTAAATATAATGTAGCCTGAGTTATTATACAAAGTAAACAAGGTTCATGATTTATTTTTTCAATATTTGTTAATCTATTTTTTTTTACAAATGTCTTACACCGCCGCTTCATATTTTATTAGTAGAAAGTAGCCTCTCTCAATTATTTCTAACGTGTTTTGTGATTGTACGTAAAACAATGAATAGATAAAAGAACGGTAAACATTGGATGAGGATTAAAACAAGTTTGTTTGATATGATTAATAAACTCAAGAGATGTTTTCATTATCTTCTAGATGAATTTAATATAAACCGCTTACATATATGCTTGTTCGTTCCTCTACATGGTACTGCCGCGTGTGAAATTCCGCCATCTATGCTAGAATTAAAGGCACATTCAAAATCAGTGCATGATAAATGACTAATCATATTCTTTGATTATGAAACAAGAACCGAAGAGTACCGATTCAGCCGTATACTCTACAGATTGTCTTCTTTTTCTCTCTATTCTGTACTAGTAGTTTAAGTACGATATTTTGCGTTATCGTTTAAAGGTCAAGTGGTTTCGTACATTTCTTTTTCCTATAATACCATCCTAATAAATATGCATTCAATAGCGTTTTAAAGATAACGAAGAAAGCATTCTCTTAATTTAGAAGATTATACTTGAGGATCATTCTGTTTCTAAAAAATTTGGTTAAGTAAAAAGAAAAAAACCTTAACAGTCAACGAAAGTAATACTTTTTATCTTTGTCATTATTTGCACATGAAACCAGGTAGTTGTCTATGTCAACAGTAATTGTTTTCATGAATCAATCGCGTCGCTTTTTTAAATGCCTAGCCGGTTTTATTCATTCTAATCGACTCTTTTCGTTTCGTGCACTTTATTGAAAATACAAAAATATTTTCTTTTATATCATAAATAAAAGCAAGCACCTGTGGTGATAATAAGAAAAAAATGAAATGCAAGTTAATCGTTTTGTTTTCAATTTCTTTTTAGATTGATCATGCCTGCATCAGCAGTAAATAAAAGTGAAAACAATGAACAAAAACAATCTACATTGAAAAATAATGATAATCAAAGTAAACCTGACATTGGCGCTAATATCATTCTTATTGGAGCACCCGGCAGTGGTAAATATTATTCGTTTATGAAATATAATATGTTGAAATTAACGATTTTTCTCCTGTCTTTTTAAGGTAAAGGTACACAAAGTGTTGGATTAGCAGAACGCTATCAAATTTGTCCGATATCAACAGGGGATTTACTTCGTCATGCAACTCAAGATAAAACATCGGAAGAAGGCCAAAGAATTCGGCGAGCAATGGAGGCTGGTGGACTTGTTGATGATAAAACAGTCATGAAATTGATTGACCAAAACTTAAATAAACCTGAATGTCGAAACGGATTTTTATTCGATGGCTTTCCTCGAACGATCTATCAAGGGGAACAACTAGAACAATTACTTGAATCAAGACAACAACGAATCGATGCCGTTTTGGAATATGCTGTATGTAATAATAAAATCAACAAATGAGTTTATTTATTGAGCGCACGTTCTCCATGATACATAACTCTTTCTATAGAATTTTTAGTTATATAGTTTTCATCATGGTAGAATCTGTGCTTTGCAATTCGACATCTAATGAGTTATTTAATCAAGTAGAAACCGTTATTCCACTGTAGTTAGCTCGAAAATTAAAATCTTCGCTACTCGTTATTTGACATATTGTTTTATTGAGTATCCGTTGTTTGTCTCGATTAGAAAGAAGAAAAAAAACTTAGAAAAACATTCACATGCAACTCATTTGCATATATTCCCTTGGTTGCAATTAGAGCTGTCGTTGTTGAATTTGTTTTTATCGAAAATGTTATTATTGTTGATTCTCAAATAGTTCTACGTACATAACAATTTTCTTAAGTCAATTTTGAAATTTTTCAACCTAGACGAACATTTGCTGCGTTCTTCAGTCTACTAACACAATCTCGCAAAACAAGAACACATGAAAAAATAAAGAGTCGTATTCAAAGAAAGAAAAACGAGACGAATGATACCAATGTATATATTTAAATACGCATCTATCTTACTCACGGCGTACCAATTGGTATTCTTTATCTTTTTCTTGCATCAAATAGAATCATGATTAAAAAAACACTTGAGAGAATGTCCAGGATATTTCATTATCAAACTTTTAATAAAGGAAAATTTTTTAACTTTCACATTTTGATATTCCTGCTAAATAAGTTTGAACTTATCGATTATCTCTGAGATTACGGTATGATTGTTTTTCGTGAATAACTAAAAATAAAGATTTATTTCAATCATAATTAATTCTTATATTCATTGTTAATATTTTTTGAATTTCAAACACAGTTTCTATCTGTGAATTTGAGAAAGATTAGACTAGTAGGCAGAGTGATCCTGGATGAACATATACGCTAATATCTGTTATTATATTCGTGCTAAGTCAGTCGTCCATTTTTGAACTTATTCTTTGTGAGAACGATGATGATGGCATGTTTACAAAAGAAGATCTTTAAATACTCTAATGAGTAGCCATCAGTTGCGATATATTTACAATAATATATTGCATCTATAGAGTTGTAATTTGAATTCTCTTTACATAGTTTAGATGATGTTTTCCAAAAAACGATATTTATATCTTGTTATAGCAATCAAAGAATATAATAGCTCTATTATTAAGTTACTTCGGCGACGATAACACATTTTAGAATATATATTAGAAATAGAAAATTTTTCTAAAACATTAGTAAGAAAATGCAAGGTTCAGTTATGATTAGTTTTCAGCTCGTTCATAATATGAATAGAAAAGAAATTTACGGAAATTATTGGATAGCTTTATCTTTTCAAGTAAGGTAATTGTAGCGCATAGCGTAAGAGAAGATTGGCAGATTCAAATGCATTTAGAATGATTCTCAACTATCAAAGCTAAATGACTTCTTTCGATCTAACATGTTATAATAACATGTCATAAAGTTTCTCAAGTGTTTCTTTTTATCATGGTACTAAATGATGTAAGCTTGCGATAAGAAATATTAATTAATATGTCAGTAGTAACGTAGACGTAGAGTAAAAACATGTTGTTATCGTTCGCTGTCGGAATAAAAGTCTTCATCTGTTGTCTTTTATTTTGACATTTCCTGTTGCTTTGGGATAGTCCGTATGCATATATCTACATTGATGATGATGTCATCATGCCTACAAAGTTCATGTTATGTATTATTCGTCAATCATATTTAGATTGAAGATGATTTATTGAAACGTCGTATTCTTGGTCGACTTATTCATAAACCATCAGGTCGAACTTATCACGAAGAATTTCATCCACCAAAACAACCAATGAAAGATGATGTTACAGGAGAAACTCTTGAACGTCGTTCTGACGATACTAATGAAACGCTCAATGCTAGATTAAATACTTACCATAGTCAAACAAAGCCATTGGTAATAAAATAGAAAGGAAAATTTTCTTTGACTATTTGGTTCTGTTCTGTATTTTATTATTAGATTGATTTTTATCGTAAGAGACATGTTCATCGTTCAATAGATGCGACACAACACGTCAGTAAAGTATTGAAGCAATCAATTGAAATAGTCGATCATTTTCGTCAACAACCAACTTATAAACTATCAGAAGTTATCGTAGAAAAAGCTCAGAATGAGGATGATTTAAATACAAAATCAAAACAAATAACAAATCAAGCTGATGCCGAAAAACGCCTTAGTAATAATTTTCTATCCATATATAATTCAGTGACATCGGTATTACGTGAACGTGGTATTATTTAAAACTTCAAGCACTAGTTTATTTAGAAAACTCAGGAAGAAAAATACGATCCAACATTAAATAGACTAGATTTTTGTTTTACAACCAGTTTGTTTTTCCCCGTATCAACATTGGCGAGTCACGTCTTTCGTTTAGATTTCTAGTTGTGAAGATTAGCTCGATTTTGTTTGGTTGTCGTTTTTTTCGCATTTTTTTCTTTCTGGTGATGTTTTCATTTTTTTTTTATGAAAAACAAATAAACCTTCAAGGTTGTTTTTTGTTGGATAAAGCGAATAGAAGATTATCACACGTTGTTACCATCGTTTTTTGCAGATGTTTGTTGGCGTTCGATTCTTACTATTATTTACAAGTATGGTGGCAAATCCCTTCAAGTAACCAAAAGAAAACTTATGCGAAAAGCATACATACACTGCTGTTCGCAAATATTGAATCACTCTAGAGTTCAGTTTTCTTTTCAATTTGTTTTCTTCCCCATATCACTTTTCTGCTCAAACCTACTCTATAGAATAGTTTTCGATATGCTCTTTCAGAATCTATCGCGATAGATTCTGAAAGAGCATATCGAAAACTATTTTATAGAGTAGGTTTGAGCAGAAAAAATGATATGGGAAAGAAAACAAATTGAAAAGAAAACTGAACTCTACAGTGATTCTATATTTCCCAGGTCGATCAACTTGTATCGTACATGTGGTTGTCGTAATGTTCTACCTGGGTTGTGAACAGCACTGTATATTTACTCTGTTAGGTCAACTAAATGTGTATTCTCGTCGGAGAGACGACTCGTCGATTTTACTAGTTCAAGTTCATCTGTTAACGATTGGATTGAAATATCGGATACGGAAAGGGATGTTGGAAAATCTAAAGGCGCACTTCTGCAGCAGAAAACACAACAATTTCAACGTGCAATTTTTTTCACACTACTTAATCCACAACCCAATGGTGCTGGATTTGCTGGTGTTGCTTATCGTCAACAATCGTTTGATTTAAGTGCATTCACTGGAATTAAATTATCTGTACGAGCACAAGGCGAAAATTATTGGTATAAAGTTATCTTAAGACATCATAATGAAGAATCATCTTTGCTACCATCCTACGAAATCTTTTTCAAGGTAAAGAAAAACAGCAATAGTTAAAAAAAATAAATGCAAATAATCTGATTTGTTTTTAGCTACCAAAAAATGAAATGACTGATCAATATTTACCGTTTACTGATTTTAAACCTTATAGTCGGGGCAAGCCGTTAGATCCAAATACAACACCACCACTGGATCGAACAGATATAACAAGTATTGGCTTGCAAATTTTTGGTGGTGTTTATTCGGCTACGAAACAACAGGGCGCTTCTAGTTTGGAAATTGATTTCATTAGTGCTGTTCAATGTGATTGAAAATCTTTGTTGTGCTGTTTTTGTCTTCTGTTAAATAGCAAAAAACAAAAGACAGGTTTCATTTTAGAATAGCAATAGGTTCCAATTCTTCAATAAAAAGTATAATCTCCAATTGGCTTTCGTATTGTATTAATAATATTTACTTCACATATATTTCTTGCTCTCTTCATCTCATTTCAATAAATCCCCGTATGGGCTGCTGTCACGTAAGAAAAATAAAAAGGAGTGCAAGTGCAATTTTTCATTTTTTCAGAACACTGAAACGATGAAGATAAGATTAGTTTTCCGCCACTGATTCTCTGATCTTTTTTTTGCACTATATGCATTGTGTAATCAATTTGTCTAGTACATTTGTCGACCTTGTTCGTGAATAAAAAAAATCTCAAAACAAAATACTTTTTATTTTTAGATTAAATCGTAAGAAAAATCAATTTCTTGTGTTTGTATTTTTCAATTCAATTTAGACATAGTATCATATTGTGGTCTTATCATACAGCTTTCGAAAAAAAAATGATGTAACACAAGACAAAAAGAAACACAAATCGGATCAAATATACAAAATACGCATACACTTCTTATAGTTATTTATTCTAGTGAGTACACAAAAGTTAGCTGTTAGTTGTTATTTCTCGTTGTATTGTTTTTGAATAGAAAATCTATTAAGACTTTGTCGGCGAAAGTATTCGCAAACAGTAATTGATTAATCAAGTAGTAGGGGATAGAAAGGGACAGGAAAGAAAAGATCTGACATTTTTTAACATTACCAGCGTGGCGTTGCATTTTTCTGTCATTTATATATTCATATCTCATCATAACAAATAAAATAGAATTATTTAATCATTTCACGTAAAGATCAATTAGTCTACAGTGAGTATGTTTATTTTAGTTTAATTTTCACTTCAAATAAAAACAAAACAGAAACATGTCAACAATGTCGGACGATCAGCAATCGAGCAATCATTTAACTGGCTTTGATATAACTTCACTGGTTATTTATTTGATATTGTTAATTGGGACTGGATTTTATTCAATGTTTAAATATAATCGTTCGACAGTGAAAGGATACTTTTTGGCTAATCGGCAAATGCCATGGATATGTATAGGCTCAAGTTTATTTGCATCGAACATTGGTGCAGAACATTTTATTGGCTTAGCAAGTTCAGGTGCAGCAAAAGGTATTGAAAAAATTAAATTAAAAAAAAAGATCAATCGATAAAAGCCTTACATATATTTGAAATGGTTTAGGTATTAGTGTTGGAGCGTTTGAATTAAACTCTATTGCAGTGATTCAATTACTGGGTTGGGTGTTTTTACCGGTTTTTATAGCAACTGGTGTATCGACATTGCCCGAGTATATGAGTAAACGATTTGGTGGACAGCGCATACGTGTATATATAGCATGTCTTTATCTTCTACTCTATATATTAACAAAAATAAGTGTGAATATCTATGCGGCATCATTATTTATCAATTATGCTTTTCATTGGAATCTTTATCTAAGCGTTTTATTTGTTCTGATGTTAACTGCTGTGTGTACTGTTTCGGGTGGTTTAGCAAGTGTTATGTATACAGATACAATACAAGCTGTTATAATGATTATCGGAGGATTTTCTTTAATGGTTTTGTCATATACGAAGATAGGTGGTTTGTCAAATCTTTATCGAGAATATTTAACAGCTATGCCATCACCGATTATTGATCAACAGTATGAAAACATAACAAATGTATGGTTAAATCAAACAGCTGCATCGATAACATGTGGGAAACCATCGATGAAATCCTTTCAAATGTTAAGATCTTTATCTGATCCTGATATGCCATGGCTAGGATTTTTTCTTGGACATACACCAAATACAATATGGTAAATATTTTTTGTTTTGAATATTTTACAGTACATCTAATCCTTTTAAAAAAAATGTCAACTATGATAGTACTGATCTGTATAGAAGAGTAAAAATCTATTATTATACATGATAAGTAGTTAAGGACAAATTTTCGTTGGTATATCTATCTGTTTAATTATAATTTCAGTCAATTTTTGTTAAAAGTAATAGAGTCATAAACAATTCAAAGTTCTTATCTTTTGCATTTGTATATAATCTTTGTTAACTTACAACATATTAAAATATGAGTAGTATTAAAAAACCAACAAGTTATTTTTCGATAAGATCAATCTCATAGCAATAGTTCTAGAGGTTACTAGAGTAAATATGTGTCGAAAAATAGAAATAAATCTAGAACGCATGGGAATATTATTTCAAGAAGAATTGATATATTTGTATCCTGTTGAGATTCTATTGTAACAAAAAGAATTCCGCTCCATTGATTGAAATATAAACGGAGAACTCAAGCAAACTTTCATTCTAAGAAAGAGACAGAACAAAATCTTCGTATCTAATCTGTTTTTTCATGACATCCGAACAAACAGAAAGCAGCGGTCTTAAAGAACAAAAGCAGATTGAATTTTTCTTCTTTCTTATTAGGTATTGGTGTTCAGATCAAATGATGGTTCAACGAGTATTAGCTGCTAAAACGATTTCCCATGCACGTGGTGGCACTTTATTAGCTGGCTATTTAAAAATTTTACCATTATTTATGATAATTATTCCTGGTATGATAAGTCGAACATTATATCCGGACATTGTTGCATGTAATCAACCGTCGACTTGTGAAGCTATATGTCATAGTAAACGAAGTTGTACTAATATTGCCTATCCAACATTAATATTAAAAATTTTACCAAATGGTTTCAAAGGTATTATGCTTGCAGTTATGCTTGCTGCATTAATATCAGGTTTAACATCAATATTTAATTCAGCAAGTACGATTTTTACTGTTGATCTTTATCCCAATATATTGTCCTATCGTCGAAATAAAATAACAAACCGAGAATCGATGATTGTCGGTCGTCTATTTGTTATTATTATGACTGCATTCGGCATTGCATGGATACCCATCGTTATACAGATGCAAGGTTCAGAACTATATATTTATATGCAACAAGTTATCGGATTTTTAGCACCGCCGATAGCCTGCATTTATTTATTGTCAGTTTTATGGACACGTGCCAACGAACGTGGTGCGTTTGCTGGTTTAATGATCGGTTTTGTATTTGGCCTAGTACGAATGGTACTTGAGTTTTCGCAGCAGCCTCCATTGTGCGGTGAAAAAGATACAAGATTTTGGTTGGTTCGAAAAGTTCATTTTATGTATTACGCATTATTTTTATTTTGGTTAACATTTTTTACTTGTGTTATTGTTTCATTATTAACGGAACCACCGACAAAAGAGCAATTGAACCAAACAACATTTTGGACAAGAAATTCCGATAATATGGAACTTATCAGAATGAAGCATGAAAGAAATAATGGAGCTTCAATTTTAAGGTAACGTATAGACAAAGAAATTTTCCAATCGAACCGCATTGCAAGAGTCGGTTTTCTAACTATTTTATAGTTCAAAGAAGAACAAACATTGTCTTATTGACTTGATTTTATTATGAATTTTAGTCGATCACTTCATTGCAATGAAGTCGCTTCATCATCACCAATCAATCATGCTGTTGTACATACTGTTGCTGAACACACACAGCCTGAAATCTTTCTTCCACCATCATCACCACTTGGTCCAGGAACCTTACTTATGAGTCGTGATGGCGATGATGACGTTACTAGTGTTCATATTAACACAGCACGAACAAGTACAACTGAAATTGAATTTAAAAACATAAAAACATTTTCGAATCATTCAGTATCAATTCCAGATAATTCCAATGATCCAAACAATGGAAAAACAGGTTGTGATATGTTAGTTCTTTTAAAATCATGTTGGTCATGGTTCTGTGGCTTGGATGACACAAGCGCTACTGCCGATCAAGATGAATTATCGGCTATCAACACATCTTATCATTGTCTACAACGAAAACCAGAAAATAGTGATACGAACGAAGCACGTGCTTCGATGTTACAGCATATGGAAGAACGGCCAATTATAAAATGGATATTAAATGGAAATTTAGTATTTGTTATTCTTGTTGAAATAGCTTTATTTGTTGTGTTTTCGTTACCTGCAAAGTATACATTCTTACGTGATTAATTCAATCTGTTTTTTAGTACTCAGATATCTATTTTTCTCCTGAATATCAAGTTCAACATTGCGTCTAGTTTATTCTATTCTTTTCCTTTTTTTTTTGAATATTTTACTCTTGAACGTTTTTATCGTTGTAACTTGAATTACTACTGTGCACTTTATTGGGCGAAAAACAAGTGAAATTTCAATAAAAACCAATGACTTAGTACATGCGTAGTATTGATGATTGAATTGCAATATTTGTTTTCGTTATACATGTTGCATGAATCTATATTTATCCTTTGTAAATATTATTTTACAGAGTTTCTACATAAACATTGAATCAATTTGAATTTTTATGAGAGATAATTAGCCCAAGATCAACTTTTTTTTTGTCATGATAAATAGAAAAAGAGAAGTTTTTTTGTGTGGTGTTTCCATTTACTTTTGTCATGCGAAGGCATAACTCAACACGAAAAGTACCAGATACCGTAGTGGGTTGTGTCCAAGAGAGAAAGGAAGTTTCAGAGAAAGTTTACAAAAGAAGGACATGTCACACCTTCGTTTGCAATAACTAAAATTCTACCATCGTGAAAAGAGAAATCATATAGAGAGTGTTTGTTTGAAGGCAAATGGTCTCCTGTCATGTATTCAAATAGGTTTTGAGCGACATCTATCAAATATTGATTCCATTGATACACTGTTTCAAGCCATTCTGAATTACACCTTTGTCCCATTATAATTTATTCGTTTACTTTTTTTGTCATGTAATTCAGGTTTACCTTTATTGGACTCCTGTATTTTGTTTACATCATTACTGTTTCATTTTAGAGTATTAAAATGTTTGTCACTAAAGTATATCTATTCTCTCTCCTGATACTTATACTATCGAACCAAATTTCAAGTGAACCAATATCTCTCACTGACAAAACATGGAAAGATATGTTATGCGGCCAATGGATGGTTGAATTGTAAAATAATATTCTATTATTTATTCTTCCATGTCTTTTGCAATATTTTGTTTAGTTATGCACCGTGGTGTCCATCATGTCAATATTTTACATCCATATGGAATGATTTTGCCAAGGAGATGATTTCTAAAGAGATTAAAGTAGCTGCAGTCGATATTAATGATTATCCTTCATTATCTGGTCGCTTTCGCATTTCTGTCTTGCCGACAATCTATTAGTAAGTTAAATAAATGACTATTCTGTGTCTATCTCTGATACATATATTTTTCGGTGAATTTAATCCATGTGACAACATTCACACGCATCGATTAGTCTCGGTAGAAGTTTATAACAAGAGTTTTTTTTTTGCTACACTTGTGAATGATTAATAACTAGTATGCTACTGTGTTCATTGTTGTATCGGAATTATTCTTCAGTTCAATTTGATATGAGAGTTTTTAGAAAATTTCGAAATGATTTTCTGATAATTAGTAATTGAAAATTTTTCTTATGATACTCTAGTGTTCGCGATGGCGTTTTTCGTCAATTTAATGGTGAACGTACATTAAGTGGTTTAAAAAATTATATTGAACTTCAAGAATGGCAACGTACAGACCCAGTCTCATCATTTGCTGCCCCAAATAGTCTTCCGTATGTTTATCTGAATGATTCCAATTGATTTTCTATTTCTCACTTTTTTAAAAAGAATGTCAATAATCAGTTCAATTTTCGACGTCTCTGTACTAGTCAAGGTTTGTTAAATTCTCTCATATGATTCAATTATAAATTCATATCTTACTCTAGGACGCATATACAATTTTACAAGATACATATGGATGGCCTCCATGGCTCATCTATATATTCTTTACTGTTGTTGTAATTTTCGTTGGACTTGTTCTTGGATTTGTATGTAGATTTTCGTTTCATCGATTTCTATATTCATCATCGTTTTATTTAAGGGTGTCTTAATGATAATTGATTATTGTGTAACTGGTACGGTTAAAGATGATATAAATAATCTAGCAGATGATGCAAAAGATGTTGAAGATTTGGTATGCTTCGACAGTTATGCAAAAATATTAGATACAATTTTTCCTGTAAATTTTTAGGACGATAATGATTCACAAAAAATACTCAAACCTAAAACAGCGCCGAGTTCTGTTCCGAAGCTGATTGCTTCATCAACACCACAACGTAAAACAAAATCAAATATTTCATCGTCCGCTACGCAAATTCAGGATGATGAAGCACTGCTCGATGAAATTCTTGGAGATGATAATGATGATAGCGAAGGATTAAATACATCCGATATAGCACAAGCAACTGATGAAGATGAACAAACGCCAAATGTAGTCATACGCCAACGACGTATAAATAAATGAACAACTTTCTCTCTCTCTCTCTCTCTCTCTCGGTCCGTCTCAGAAATAATACTTCTGTGATAATATTGAAAAGGAAGCTAATATGAAATGAGCGCTCTTTTTTTTCTATCATTTTCTTTGTCTATAATATAAATGTTATAAACAATTCATTTTCTATGAACTGAACAAATAATTTAATGTTTTTTCCTCTGTATATCAAAATATCGACCTTAATTGTGTATTTGTTCTACGGTGAATTGTAGCTTTTTTTTTCATGTATAGAAAAACATTAAAAATGAAAAACCTTTATGATTAGATGAAACATAGAGAATTATTAAATACATACAATCGCTTTATGTGTTTCTGAATGTATAACTTCATGATATAAAAAAAAGGTCATATATTTAAGTGCAATTTTTTAGTGAATGTCATCGATATCAGAATCAAGGTTTATTTATTTGTCATGAAGTTTAATTATCGAAAACTGAATCAATGTCATAAAATACTAGTTTTAACATCTTCGAAGATAAATTAGAACCATCGCGTATAATTAATTGCAGCTTCTTGTAAAATATTTTATAAGCGATAGCTCGATGCTTATGTAAACAAACTTTCATTTTGCCATTAATTGGCACCATCTTGTCAATAACATTTTTAGCTATGCTGAAAAGATAATATTAGGATCATTGGTTGGAATATATGGACACAAATTAGAAAGTCTTATTCAAAGAACTGAAGATTTTATCATTTTTTAATCAAAATACATATAACATCTTTAACTACTTGACATTCATAGGATGTCTTGGACGTATGGATCATTGAAGCTATTTTTGATTGTATAATCGTTATTTAGAATGTATTGTTTATGTTCTCATCGTCAAAGAATCAGACAGCATTTTAGTTCATTGATAACAATCAAATAGAGAGCAAACACATGACTCAACATTTAAATACGATGGTAGATATGAATGTATATAATCTTTCAGAATAGTTTGAATGGATGCAATTTAAGCATTAGAATGATTTCGAAATCAGTTTTTGATAGAAAATAAGTTTTCAGTCGATATGAGAGTAACAGTAAAGTCTACTGTAAATTCATCGACTCAAAAGGTAAATAAAACTATTTTCAACGATCAGACTAACTGTAGATGGCAATCAATCTATCAATTCATTCTTCGCATCTATAAACTATTAGCTCATAAGATGTTTCTTTTTCTGGCAGTTTCTTCTGAGAAAATTCGAAACATGAGTCTCAAGGGAGGAATAGTTGCTCCCGATAACCCTACCATTACTTAAAAATACTTTGCACCGAGTTTCGACAGTGCTATTAACTATTAAATCACATATCTATGTTTATATTACTTTAAACAATGTTGTTATGCAGAAACTATTTCGAAAATGTGTGTTCGACCATGAATCTGTAGCTGGCTCCTATGACGTCAACAGATAAAGTTAAATTCACTTTTTTTTATTTGAAAGCATGTACAGAATAGTATTGACTTTCAAGGTCATATGAAAAGAAAAGTATACATTAGACCCTCGTCAAACATGGAATTTCAAAATTCAGCAACGTGCAAAAACAAATTTTCGCGGCTATTAAGCATCTTCTCTCAAGACTGTGAAAATGAAATGATTCTTCTATGGACTCGTCATGTGGTACATATCTTGATCTTGCTGTCGATTAAATGTTAAACGGTAAAATTATAATACGTAATCATGTCAGCGTAGTTTTAATGATTCATACAGGCAAAAGGAATAATAATAAAAACTTGGTAAACGATGGTTTTATGTAAAAATTTCCCTGGGTAAAATTCTATTCAAAAGATATATATCTTTTGAATTGTATGTTTAAGATTAAGAGAATATTGGTTTCGGGAACATATTGACTACAATGTTTTTTATTACTTTGATGTTGATAATTATAAAAATCAAATGAACGAAAGCTACATTGTTTTTTCTTCTTCTTAAACGAGCTATCCTACAAACAAATTGAATATTTCGATTGACTTTTTTTTCTCGCATTTATCATAAAGAAAAGAAATGAACATATTCCCTTGAGCATTTCATGTTGTTGTTATTTCGTACAATGTCGGTCGATGAACAAGATGTTTTGTTGCTCCTCCTGCATGTTGTCTTTTATCGTTTGAATTGTATGCTTCAAGCGCCGTTCATTTAATAGACAATATATGCATGAGATATGTCGCTTCTTAGCATTTCTTTTTCTATTCTTCTATTGTTTGCTCATCAACTCATCGTTTAATCGTTTTTGATTTTTTTTGTTGTTGCTAGCGACAAATCATCATTATTATTATCATCATCATCATCATCATCAGTTTATCAAGAAAGAAAGAACATATAGAAGAAGTAGAAAGGGATGGCTCAAACGTACCTTTACAACACACGCTCATAGCCTTAAGATACAAAAAAAAATAGAAAAATAAGATCTATTCACTTTGATGTTTGAATGTCGTCTTTTCTTTTGACAATAGATATCGAGCAAGTGTATGATGTCTTTTGAATGAATGAGTGATTGATTATTGTAATGTCGTTTTCTTTTACTCTACTCAATTAGATAATGTTAGAAATTTGATGCTTTTTGCTAATGGACTTGAACTATATGGTCGTTTGACGGAACGATTAACGGAATGTATAATTCACACAATCGATCACCAGCATAGAGAGAACAAGTCAGGTGCAATTGATTTAAATTATCGTCCGAGAGAAGGGATAAGTGAAAAGCTAACATTTCCGGTAACTCACTTATCCCAATCCAAAGAATGTTGATACTTCACCAAGATCAACATCGATGAAGAGCGTTCTTAGTTTGAACGACGTTGCAGGTGAAAACTGAGATCATATTTCTAAGTCGTTGCTGTGTTTTTTCTTCTTCGAAAAAATTTGTTATCTCTCCATTGCCTTTCGCTTATTTGTTCAAGAAGCGTCTAGTCGTTCATTTCGTTTTTACTCTCTTTCAACTTGTCTTCTTCTTTGTATTCGCTCATTAATCAACATTTTAAAGCGCTTTCGCATTTTAGATTGAGAGAAAGAGAAAAAGGTAGGCAGGCGGTAGTTTCAAGGGCTAACGAAAGAGATCGATGCTTTAGATACACGTTCATATACATAAAATGATGAGTGATGTCCCATCAGTAGTAAGAGGGAAAGAGTTCGTTGAATTTGACAAGAAGGATCACTTGTGTATGTATGTATGCAGTACGAGAACGTCTGACCGATCATTTTCACACATCTTTCGATGCGACGATAAGTAAATTTTGACATTTTTGTGTCGCGATCTAAACGTATATATACATATCGAGGTGTATATAGAGTAGAACAGTAAGACCGACAACAATTTGTAATTTGATTCATTCCCATGTTTGATGATATACCGTTCGATGTACTTCGAACTGGAGAGTCACATTTCTACATTTCGATAATTATCATGTATTTAATCACTAATATATATCTATATGTATATATATACGTCTGGTTTCTTGTTTTCTCCTGCAAGAATCTAATTCAATGTTACAGCATATACATTATCATTTGCTAGTAAAAAAAGAAAAGAAAAAGCACTTGTAATTATGTATATCTACTTAATGATATCATTTTTGACAATAAGATGATGAACAGAAGTGCCGTGATGTAAGAAACTAATTTCTTTTTCTGCTGCTTCTTTCTCAAACGATAAGTGTGAAAAGTACTCAATGTTTACACCATAGAAATGAACTTGCTTCTGTTTATCGGTTCATATCCGAAATGGAAATGACGATCGATGATACACTGGCCAATTAGCAGTATAAACTAGTGAGAGACAGACATTTTTTCCCATTATCGATCATCGATGCGCTCTATTGATATTGCTGATGTTGCTATACATTCCATCTCGTCAACTGATAGACAGGCGAGCGAGAAAGGCGTGTCCGTCGATTAACTACAATTAACACGAGTACTATTCGTTGTGGTAGCAACAGCGAAAAAAAAAGGAGAAGAAGAAGATGAGGATCATCGATAGTATGTGCGTGTTGGGATGGTTCACCTACCAACACCATACATGCATACACACATAGATAAGTAACAATCACCATACATATTTCAATGTGATGCGATGATGATCGCGCGTGCGTTTGCATACCAAACAAGTTGACTTTGCTCGTGCACGCACGTGCACATCCATCAGTCTCACTTTCACTCTTACTCATGAGTAACAAACATACATTCCTTATCCATACATACTCTCTGTCTACAAGAATAGATAAGTAATATATATAATTTGCAGATGATGACAATAATAACAAAAAAGAAAAAGAAAAAGAAAACTACTTAATTCTAAACAGATGAAAAAATAATAATCTTATACATCATATTTTCTTTTTTCCTATCAGACAGAGGGAGGAAAGAAAACCTGCAAAAATTTGATATGCAAAATTCTCTTTTATTGATATCACTAACGGATAATGTTCAGTCCATTCACACATCTAAGTAGTGGGCGTCTCTACAATTCCACTTGACACGTCAATCTTAAGATCAAATAGTGATCGCTACCGTTATGATGGGGTGATGAACACTATACGTGATTCTTTTTTTGTTTTCATGCTTCACCGAAATAAAGTAAAGATGATGAGATCACCTGCTTTTTTAAATGAATTCTATACTTTTTCTATTCCCTTAAGATATGAAATCAAAAAAAGAACAAAGATGAATATACATATATATATTGTACAGTAAGGCATTATCATGACTGCGGTAGAATTGATAGAACAAGACTATACAATTTCAATTTCTTCTGATGATTTGCCAAAGGGCATATATATCATGCCATATTATTCAAGTAGGATATCATAAGAAGTCCAAAGAATTCATCGATTGGATGAATAGACGCTATGCTAAATGATTCTTCTTCTTTCTTTTTTTTTCTCACTTGAATATATTTATTTGGCCAACAGCACGAGTCGTCCATCTTAATCATTCGTTCGTTTCATTCCTACTCTGACCAACCATTCTACATCATACACACGATCTCGCGTGTGTGTGCCGAGACACACACGAGAGAGAGAGAGAGAGAAAGAGAACACGAGAGCTAACAAAAAAAAATATCGAAGAAAGAGAAAAAACGAGAATAATTATAGTACAATTGCCAAGACGACGAATCAGAATACATACTTATATACATAGACACACGAAGTATATATCACTTCTCAAAAATATTAGATCCCGTTCACGCATACACTACTACTCATATTAATAGAATGCCTAGTGATCGTTTCGCACCTTATCCATTACCATCTCATATTAGCCACAATGATTATCGAAAGGTAAACCTATCAAATGAATAATTAATCGATTTGAAAACAATACATATGTTGTTGGTTGCTTTTTTTAGAATGCAAAACCAATCATGGAAAAACGAAGACGTGAAAGAATTAATCGAAGTTTAGAAGAATTGAAAAATCTTATTCTTGATAATGCAACAACAAATGTAAGTTAGCTAAACAAAAAAATTTTTTTTTTCGTGTTTAGATTTTTAAATTATCTATATTTTAGAATGTACGTAGTCATAAATTAGAAAAAGCTGATATTCTCGAAATGACTGTGAAACATCTACGAACTGTTTACAAACAGAAATTAGCTTGTAAGAAGAAGAAGAAAAAAATAACATCTAACAAGATAATAATTTCATATTTTCTTATTCTAGCTGCTGCTGCTGTTGATCCAACAATAGCATCAAAATATCGTGCTGGTTATGGTGAATGTGCTAATGAAATAATACGTTTTTTAACTACAACACCAAATGCTGATTTAGAATTAAAAACAAAACTTATAACACATTTGTCAACTCGTATACAAAATCTTTCGTCATTATCTATTCTACCACCGATGCAACCATCATTATCACAAATAAATTCAGCAGCTGGTTTATTAACAAAAACCGATCGTTATTCAGTTAATTCATCGACTAATAATCAGTACATTTTTATTTTACCTCAACAACAGCAAAAACTTCAAAATTCATCTACAACATTCGATGATGATGCTGATTGTAGTTCAACATCATCGAATAATTTAAGTGATTGCGAATCAATGAAATCATCCGAAGCAATAACAACAACACCAACAGACAGTGTAACAAGTACAATGACCGAGTCACCATCTAAAGTATGGCGACCTTGGTGACCTATAAAACGTTTAATTCTTGTTTCTGTTTTTTTTGTTTGGTTTTTCTTCGTATTGTTATTTTGTGTACATTTTAAAAAAATGTGTTTGTATTCAATGTTAATCCGTATATATTCAGCAGTTTATTAAGAGGTGATGAGATGCGAAAGCTAATTTGAAAAAAAAAGTTTACACCTAAATATGTATCCATGTGCATGTGTACAGAATGGTTATATATCTATTGCTCATGATCTTTTATGATATATACGCATATATGCGATGAGTGTATTATAATTCTTGTGTATACATAGACAAGGTGGAGAAACAAGTGTTGAGATGCGCTTATACTAACGCGGTTTCAAATCATATGAACACTTGAATATGACATAGAGATGCATTAGTTCTTTACTGTCTCAATTAACTTTACGTTTTTTCTTTTCGTTTCTATAATATTGACAACGACAAGTGTAGAACAATCAATCTTCGATATTGTCGATAATGAGAACAGGCAAAATTTAAGTTAAAAACAAAGTAGAGTAATGAAAAAAAGGACAGTAAGTTTTGAGATATATTAATAATGACTTAGATGAATAATGACTTCGAAATAAGACATTTGTATATGTTTAGTAGATAAAGATTGAAAAAAAGCACTGAACAATAACAATGAGTAAAAGATGAATTGTATTGTTTTACACAAGAGATAGCCTTTCGATCATCTTACAATTGTTTTAAAAATGAATATTTAAACAGGAATATTATTGCATTGAGTAGAAATAGATGTTATTTTTCAAACAGAAATACAATATATATAATTGTTATTCTGTTTTTTTCGATCGACCAATAATTGAATTTCTTAAGATATTTCTAAAGTTTATCGAACAGTTTGATAAGAATGATAGAAAAATTTGCTGAGCATTAGTTTCACTAATGAAAGGATTGTAAAGTGGAGGTTCTTTTGAAAATTCATACAAATATTTTAATATTTGCTGTTCAAAGTAAAAAAAGGTCCTTATTGACTACGACATAGCGTGTGCGTAAAACATATAGATCAAACAATGCTGTATATAAAATGACTCTTCCCTTAATAGTCTGTTGCAACAAAACGATGGCTATCAGGGATGACAAAAAGAAAATTGGAATCATTTGCTTTCTACGGAGGCCAATTATTGATGCTATTTGTTAATGAGACAATCTACATGGCAGAGAGTAATAATCAAAGGAATTATTTTTAATCTTCAAGAGTTTAGAATGTAATGCTTTATTTTAGTTTAATTGATAATAAAGATAGACCAATTTTTTTTCTCTCGGATGACTACTATAACTCGTCTATCCATTTAATTACATCTATTTTCAGATATATGATGCAACGGACTGTGTATTTAAATATCTATTTTGTACTTTATTTTCATAATTATAATACATAAAAATTGTTTTTCTAAATGTTATTTTGTAAAAATTTGATATATTTTATACCATGACAGAAATGAAAGGAAATAATACATGATTAGTTTGACTTAAGTTATCCAACTTATAAGTACCGATCAAAAAAACATTGTGTAGTGAAAGCTACAGCTTGTTTTGTTTTTATTGTGAAATTGTTCTTTGTCGAATCTCGTTATAACTCGATTTACCTTGAAGAAAAAGATTTGAATAAATACTATTGTGAAGACTTTATTGTGAATGACCGCGCACTTTTATGTTGCTATCAGTTTGCCCTGCCTAAGTGCAAATGCTTACATACGAATTGTGAGTCAAATTTGTGCTATGATCCAAAAAACTGCATTCAATCCATATAATTAATAGAACAAAAATAGCTAATGAAACGTAGCTATTGAAGAACTTTTGAAAAGTTTATTGCACTATACAGTCTGGTGCATAATTATAAGGCCACTTGTTTTCGAATTAAACTAAATAAAATGAGCGATATTTTTAGTGATTTCACATAGGCGAGTCATAAGAATAGCGACATAACATTTTCAAGCGGGTTTTTTTTATCTTCTTATATATATATATATATAGAATTGCCTCCGCATTTGCGGTGCATAAATATAGGACCCCGTGTCGTATAGGACGGTCCGTAAACGGTCCTAAACGACTAAAAACGGCGGCCTTTCAGGTGACAGTTTCCGTGTTGTCTGAAACGACTACCATCTAAGGCAAACTTTTTTTTATCGTTTTACATCTCTTTTATTTGGAGATATAAATTTTATTTAGTTGTATTTTTATTGTATTTTATTCATTTTCTTTTATTTCTTTTTATTTTCGTTTATTGTATTTTATTTTTTATTTATTTATTTTATTTAAATTTTTTCCCGATACTTTTTTGTTTTATTTCATGTTATTTTGTGTTGACTTTTCTTTTGAAAATAAATATATAATAATATTATTAAATTAAATGTTTAAAAAGTATAAATGACCAGCCTAACTCTCACGTAAAATGTCGAGAGCACGTCAGAATGGAGGAAAATAGGGTGCTTTTATTACTTGCACTTTTTGGTCGGAAACGGCCTTGAACAATATCGTTAACGGTCCGTAATCTGGGCTGACAGAAGACTGCTATAAATGGCGGCCATTTTTCGTCGTTTAGGACATTATTTGCACCGTTTCTTAACCGTTTCAGGCAGTTCAATGCCATCCTTCAGACGGTCTGAATGATGGACCTGGGATCACACGATAGGTTAATAATATTAAGCGAGCGAATCATCAGTGGCTTTGAATAAAATTAACAAACAGAATAACACTCATATCTAAACTATAGCGTGCCCAGAGTCATACAATCAGTAGAGAGCGAAACAAGGTCGATTTTAGGATTACACAAGAAAAATATATCTCATTGAGAAATTGCCAGGAAAAATTAATCGATTGAAGAGAGTGGTAACAAATTTTTTAAAGGGTCCACTTGAATATTGCTTGAGAAAAAGGAACTGACCAAAGAAAAAAAGTCAATGAACGTACTGAACGCCCTGTTATTAGAACTGCTAGTAACAAATCAATATCTTGTGCCAATGTTATTAACGATTTATGCTTAAAAATGTCACGATGGGCAGTCAATCGAGTTATAAAAAGGTCAAGCATCTTGAAAAAGATGAAAAAAAGCACTCTCCTACTTTAACAATAGCTCACAAAGATTTACGATTAACCTGAACTAAAGCTCATACGATCTGGAACAATTAATGGCACAAAGTTGTTTGGTCTGAAGAAAAAAAAATTAATTCAGATGGTTCTGATGGCTTTTCTTACTATTGGCATGATCTCCGTAAAAAAGAAGAGATTTTTTTCAACTCGTACGCAAGATGGTGATAGCGTTATGATTTGGCCCAGGTTGAAGCAACCGGCCTGGGAAACGGCCGGTTCCCGCGATTTCACGGAAGCAGTATTGTGGATCGGGAAATCTACGGATTTTTCCTGTAAATTCCGCCAAGTTCCTGTTGGTTCCGGCCGGAAATCATCGGGAAAATCCGTCCCGGAATCCTGCTTCCAGGGTCCGATGATATCCGGCGTTTTCCTGCACGTTCCGGTGCGTTTCCAGTATGTTTCTGGCCGGTTCCAATGAAATTCGCTCATTTCCGGAGGCCGGAAACATCGTCCTGGGGGGCGTCGTTTGGTTGGGGTGGTAAAAGTTCAATGTTTTGTAGACGGACGGATAAGCTCAAAAGGATATCGAGAGGCGCTAAAAAAGCATCTGATTGATATCAGTAGTTGTATTGGTGGGTCTGATTGGATCTTTCAGTAAGACAATGCACCTATCCATAGAGCGAAGGTCAATCTCACTTGACTTAAGTCACAGAAAAGCAATGTTTTACCTTGGCCATCGTTGCCACCTGGATTTAAATCCAATTGAAAATCTTTGAGGAACACTAGCAAGGAAGGTCTATACCGAAGGTAAACAATTTAGAACAAAAGAACAGTGAAAAACTACCATAATGAAATATTGGGAAGAAATCAACATCGAACAACTCCGGGCTCTGATCGAATCGATACCTAAAAGAATATTTGAAGTTATTAAACTAAATGGAGCCAAGACAAAATATTGATGTTTTTTGTCTTTGGTGTTTTAGCATTCTTCTTAATGCGGTCTTATATTTTTGCGCCATTAAAATTCATGAAAAATCAGTAACTAAAAAAAAAAGAAATAAACCTTCGGAAATCTAGCAAAGAGAAAGTTACGTTATGATACCTCTAATTCCAAATAATAAGCTTTATCTGATTATCTCAAGCTCTAAAAGAAGTGGTCTTATAATTATGCACCAGTCTGTATTAAATATCTATAAAAAAAGTGAAAATTATTCTCGGTGAAGTAATTTACGTAGAAATCAACTATAAAAGAAATTTAAAAAAGGGTGTTTCATTGAGTTAAGAGGTTAGAAATTGTATTTTTTCTTGATATTAATCAACAATATATTAATTTTCGATACTTATTAGCATCTAGATCCGAATTAAATCTCAATTATAGAGAGCTTTTACAAGTAGAATTAATATTCACTTCGTAAGCTTTTAGTTAATTTAATTGAAGCGAAAAAAAGAAAATTATTCATTTTGCAACGCCAAGATCAAGGTAAATCAGATGTCGCTGTGGTAATAAATGTTTAATATATCGTTTATAGTCAAAAAAATCCGGTAAATTTCCAATTGATAAATTTTCATTTTTAATTAAAAAATTTAGTAAATCTTCTGATTCATTTTTATCTAAAGCATCTTCCATCGTTGACATTGTTTGAACAAACAATTTTTTATGCAAATAATTTTTATTATTTTGATCAAGTTTTTTAAAACATTTCAATAAATATTGTTCATCAGTTGGTTTATAATCATTATTAAGTAATTTAGGTATAATTACATCAGCAAAATCATAGAAATGAATTAAATGATGTTCAACATCGATTTCTTCACGTTCAGAAGTACGTGATCGAGGATGAAAACGCATAGCTAAATATTTTAAAATGAAGGATTTTGTGTTTTTTATTCCGAATAAATCCTACCAAGAATTAATTCATTCATTTCATTGTGCGTCTATAAAACAAGAATAAAGTTTAGTATAGAAAATATTTTCGAACAAAAAGCAGAACTTTTCCAACGCCTCCTTTCAGATTTATGACAGAATCTTATTTTAAAAATCAGACTTCAGCAGTAAAGATTTAAAAGAAAAACTAACAGGTACAAATCCGAGTGAATAAATTATATTATGCATATCACGATCGAATACAAAATTTGATAAATGAGATTCATATGTATGAAAAGATTCGATTAATTGTTGATAGATTTTCTCTAGATCAAAACCAATTCTGCGTTCAATTGGTAAAGTGGTAATAGCTTCACGTAAACCTACAACGATTGGATTATATTCTAGTACTGTTCGATACTTAACTTGCGTGTTTCAACATTGAAACTATCAATATCGATTTTATCTTGTGAAATGATTCGATGCTTTTTTGTAGTCATAGAAATGAATTTTTTTTTCTAATTAGATTGAAGCATTTTATGATTACTTCAGTCAAATCATTTCAATAAGATTATGATGGATTTTTAGGCCAGTGAGAGAATTGATTATTATCTTATGGAAAACGCACATGTCAAAGCTTTAAAAAACAATGTGTTCTTGAAAGTTTAGATGCTCGATGTCAATGAGGAGAGTTAACCAGTGATTGGTATGGAAACGAAAGAAAAATGTTCGGTTTGATCAATTATTTTATTGATTCAATTTCATTTTCAAGGATTTATTTTTCTTCTTGAACTTTTCATTTTGGTGCACGAGTAGTGAGATTTCATTGAGTGATAGTCGCTGTTTAATCGTTCGAATATCTTTAATTGAATTAATTAGGTAAACAGATTTACTTGAAGGCAATCCTATCTGCATCAATTGTAACGACTAAAAACATGAATTTATTGATTAGAAGCAAAGCGCGTGAAAATAATTTTTTTTTGAAAGTTCGAAATGATTCTATTTCAAGTTAAAACAAGAATACCTATATTTTTTTAATGCTTCTCTAGTTAAAATTAAAGACTAACAAAAGAAAATATTTGTACCCGTCTTGTAAAAGCAGCTGAAAAAGGATTCAAAGAGAGTCAGATGACTCATTTTGATTAATCGAGTCACGTAGACATGAAATTTCAGTCCCAGATTAATAATTGAAAACGAAATACGAGAGTCACTTTCTCAGCAGATCGAAATAGAATGATGGGGTAAGAGTAAATAGATTCATAAAAAATCTAATCTATGTTTTTCTTACAATATTCTTTGTTTATTTTATGGAATTAGTTTTTAGAGTATTCCTGCTGAATCACTGTACTTTTCGTAGAAGACAAACAGTTGACTGACTTACAATGATGTCTAATTTGACATTTGATGAACGTATAAGACTGCTAATATACTCTTTACTTCCTAGATATTGGTTTAACGATAGCTGTGTCTATAATATTATACTTTTAATTGTATTGTACTTTATTCACACAGTTTCTAGTACATAGATATGAACGAAGCAATGCATTTTGACTTAAACCTAATCTATGTCTATATTTGATCACCGAAAGATCTCCAACTCAGTATTTTTATGTGCAATAGATGAGTAAACCCATTTACAATTGTTTCTACTTGTTCTCTCATTTTATTTAGTATAAAAGTCTATTAATGTTCACTATTCATGCTATTCGTTTGTTCCTTGATCGATATAGTTACTTTTAAGAATTCTTTCATTCTTCACCTTGATTGTTATTGTAACATTTGTTAAATTTATTTATCCACTTTTTAAAAACGTGCGCCAATATAAATAAATATCGATGTCCCTGATGTAACGTGAATATCTTCTCAGAAGTATCCAACCACAAATTCAGAATTATAGCTGCTTTGGTAATTAATTAACAATGATAAATAATATCCTAAATATAGACTTATTCTAATTGAAAAAGAGATATTTGATTTGTAATCAGATATTTTAATTTTTAATGGATTGATGACTTTTTCCTTCACAAAAAACGCCTATAGATCGAGCAAAACAATATCGCTGAGTTCTTGAGGCCAATTGAACTCAGTTTCTCAATGATCTAGTAAAAAGCTGTCAGCGCAATCCCTGTGGGATTAAAATGTGAAGCATGATGATATTTATTTACTGGAATCCATCTAGCACGGTCTGAGAGCCTTTCCAGCTTTTCTGCCACTGTCTGTAATCATACATGGAGCCTTTCGGTCATGGCCTGTATTATTATCTTGAGGGTGTGGGCGTGGGTGGGCTCAATTTTCTACTCTATGCACTTCAGCACTCCTTTCAGATCGTGTTTCACAAAACTACACAGCTATTCATACCGTTGATCTCTCTTGAGATGATACTAAAGTCATAGAAAAAAAGAGTAACAAAAAGAAATTTTGTGTCGGATGACTGTGTTTACAATTATTTAAGTAACAAAATTAAATCTTCCTCACGTTAACTATAGTCTATGGAATCATTCATAAGACGAAAATAAACATTCTATAACAATCGAGTGCTTAACTAAATTGTATAATTAGTTATTCATAGAACAATGTTGACCTGGGGAAACATTGAAAATGTAACAGTGACATGCTTATAGTTAGAAACTTCTATGGATTATTAACTAAAAAAAAAATAAAGAAATGTTCGGAGCTTTTTGGCCGATCAAATTTTATAGAGCAGTGACACAATCGAAATGGTGACGCAGAAATAATTCCGGAAGATTGAATGGTCTCAAATTTTCAGCTGACTTCTGTGATTTTTTTCCATCGAAATGGTCAATGGAGAATGATCTACCAAAACGTTCTTCTCATGAAACTATGATTGCTCTTTTGAATGAACAATTATACTGATAAACTTCATCTTGAAGTACTATAAAAATCTACGTCGATTTCATTTGTATTTGGAACTTTACTTCGCGTAAAAAAACTTACTCTCTGACCTAAATTTAATAATAATAATAATATGTAAATACTGCGAGAGAGAGAAAAAAAATTTCTTTTATCGTTAAATAAATAATTGAGATGCATTTGTTCGAATTCATTGCATTTTATAATTTATATTGAAATAAGATCTCTAGTTTTCTCCTTCTTCTTTTTTTATCTATTAAACTGAGATGCTGTTCAGGAGAATGATAAGCGTGCCTGCTATTAATACGAGTACTATTCTTTGATCTGTCATAAGAAAAAGTAATTTTACTCAAGAATTCTTATGCGAAATCGACAGCAAAGAAAGAAGAGTTCACATACAACTGATAGACATTAGCGTCTGTTTCTCAAAGTCTCTTTTCATCAAGTCCAAGATCGTGCCCCCGCTCCTCTTATATCAATCAAGTCTCTTTCTAATATGTCACCTGATGCCATAATGAATATCTGTAAGAAATATGGCTAAAAAGAGATTCAATACACAAATATTCTCGTGATTTACAGGAGTGGTTACATTATGTTTTACATTGTAATTCCGCAGGGTTTATACTAACAGCTTTTCAACAATGTTACAATAAAAGTTTTTTCAAGCTTTCAAAATTCAATCAATCAATCAATTCGTATATTTCATTCAGTGGCACACCTTTGTCGCTGTGGCCTTTTCTTTTTTTTTCTTGCTGCTCGATGAAGAAAGAAATAAATTATTTGTTAGAATATTTTTTTTTCGGCATCCATAAATCTTCTTTAAAATATGTAACAATAAAACTATTCTTTTCTCTCTGATTGTTACACGTTCTCATTCTTCATCATCGCTTCCAAGACACCGACCATATTTGTTCTTTTTTCGATTCTGTATTCTATTTGGCACAATCAACAGCATTTATTTTACTTATTGAGATGGCGACTACTACGACGAATAAATTAGACAACAGATTTCTCGGTTTACCAAAAAACAGAACAGGTTCTTTTCTAAATTGTTTTTAAATGAAAAACAGTAACGAAGTTCGAAAATCTGCTCTGATCTAGGCCTTTTTGCTGCTGATACAATACAAGAAGTTAAATCCAATAGAAATCCTTACATAAATGTTCCTCTTCTATCACCTCAATTTCGTCATAATACTTCAGCAAATGTCTTATTAGCATCAGCCGAACAGAATCTTCATCAATTACAACAATATCGATCATCATCAAATGAAATTCAACAATATTATCCACTGGACGATGCTTCTCATAATAATATTGATTCTTCTAATGATTCTCGTTTAACTTTAAGTGGTATAAGAAATGGTTTTCGTCCATCAACAGTACGTCATCAAAAGTCCCGATTATCAACAGCTACTCCACAACGAAATAGTGCTCATCATGAACATAAAGAGTCACTACCAAAAGCAGCCATAATGCAAGCGCACGCATCAGCAAAATTAAAATCCGAAATCGATCATATCAATAGCAAATTAAAAAGACATGAAGATTCGAGTAAACATTTCCGTGCTCAAAGTAGTCGGGTATGACGAATCGCTTTGTTTTGTTTTTGTTTTTCTAAAGAAATCATAATCATATTGAATAAATTAATTTTAAATGAAATCTTAGAAAAACTGCATGACGAATTTGGTCAAATATTTGCTTTTTCCATTTTGCTACTTACTTTCTTTCCAAGATTTGTTTGGCATTTCTAAGCTAAAATTCATTGATTATTTGACCTTCTTTATTGATTAAGAACAACTTGATGATTAAATCTCTATTGTGTTTGTTATTCTAGTTCTCTTAGCAATTAGTTTCATTCTTTTAGGATTTAGATGGTACTCCACAAAGTGATTATTCTTACTCAACATCATGCCGTTTATCTTCTGCATCTACGACACTCTTAGCTGATCGCATCCATCAACGTTTTTCGTCAGCTATAACATATGCGTCCCCAAATGTAGTTGCTACAATACCGTTAATAAATGAAGCATCTAATGAAACTGCACAAATGATTTCGACTATGATTCCAATATCGTCAGCGTTAACTAATGAAATAGATAATAATCAACAAGATACAATAGAATATCAGCCAACATATGCATATCAAGTTCCACAGCAATCTAATGTTGGTAGCGAAAGCGTTTTTCTACCTGAATCAGCAGTATTCTCGGCGAAAAAATCACGTTCAGCTAAAATCGATCGGCGTCCTAATGAATCGAAACCTATATCATGTCCATTTTATGTTATGTATTTAACTAATTTAGCAATGCAACAACGACAGAATACAGCTAATAATAATAATAATAATAATAATAATAATAATAATAATCATAACAATGAAAATCATTTGACACCCATGGGAATGTCATCTGTAACACGAAACGTTCCTATGAATTCACGTATCAGTACAGCTTATCCAAAAATTCAACCATTTCGAAGACCTGTAAACAGTCCGATCAGTGTGAATACTTATTCAACTATAGACGACGAAGATTTTGTTTCAAGTTCAACACCATTTACTAATAGTAAGCGTTTATCAGCTAAAACGTCTACTGTTGACAATGAAAGTTCTCATATGTTACGAGATGTTCTTCGAACCTCATCATGGAATCATGTACAAACATAACAATTGATGTGTTTTCTTTTCAAATTTCTTTTTATTTCAAAAATAAGGTTTCTCTTCTCTCTTTTTTATTCCTTTTTACTAAAATTTTTCAATTGTCATTAGAACAATAGAAAACACACATAAAATTATTTTTGACGTGAATCATACAAAGTCTCTTCTATTTCCCAATGTTATGTTGATTCGCTTGTTGTCCCTGCTTGTTTTGATAATAATGCCGAATATTTATAAAATGGCTGTTGCGTTTGTCGATTCGACATTCGGCTTGTATTTGGTTGTAAGCTTGATCGATCCGATACGCTAATACGGTATGGCAAGCCTCCTCTTTCGACTCTTGAATTTGAATAATGACTTGCTGCTGAGATGGTTGATGCTCGTGCTTTATCTTGAAAACAACATGGTGCTAATGAAGGTAAAATAGGGATTATTAATACACAAATTCGGACTACCGAACGACGAAATTTATCACTGGTTAATAGATATAGGAAAAAATTAGTTGCATGTTGCAAATCACTTAATTGAAACATAATAACAGTTAGTATCGTTAGTCGTCGAAAACGTAACCACTGATAGTAATTATTCCCTGTTGGAAGTTTATTGAAGCCATATGTAAGATCAAGTACAAAATAGATACTATTTGGTAATGTAAGTAGAAGGAAAACAACAGCAACTGCAAGTAACATTAGTGTTATATGGCGATGTCTCGAACGGATAACGTCTGTATTTTGATTACTGCGCATCTCAATAGCTTGATTTTCTAATTTTTTCTTGTGATATTGTTGTTGTAGTTTATTTAAACGCATGCCATTTGAAACTAAAATTAAAAAATTTATTTATTTGATAAAATAAAAAAGAATATTATGGTAGCGCTAGGCTTCCAGCTAAAAATAGTCTTTCCGTTCGAATTCAATCATCAAAATAAATGACATCTACCATGCAAGATTTGCAGAAAGCTATTTTCGTAGCTATTATGAAGTTCTGTCAGACCCGCTAGGTTCTTTTCAAAATTTCTCGAAGTTGAATGTACTCATCTCGTGTTGACGTCTTTGCTTTTAATTGCTCAAACGTGTTGACATGTATACAATCAATTTTTATCTGCTTTTTTTTCCCAAATTTTCTACCTTGATTCTTTCGTAATTGCTTATCCATTATTTGTCGAATATTTTGATGTGCACCTTGCCGATTTTGATGTAGTTTATATATAATTAAAACACTTAATGTTAATAGAAGTATAAAAGGCAACGAACACCATATGACGAAATCTACATAACGCCATATACGTTGTATTGAACCATAACGCGTTCCATCATAATAACAAAAACGTTGTCTAGGGTATTTCGGATGTTTGAAACTATCGATAGTCCAAAAGTGATGGACGCAAATAATACTCGTGATAGCAGGAAGAAATATACAAACATATTTTGCTCGAGTTACAGTACAAAAATTCGATACTTTCAACGGAAACCAAACAGCAAAAAATTTGTCAACTGTCATAATGACCAGTATCCAAACGTTTGTATAGCCAAAAACATAGATAAGAAAGTAGAGTATTTTACATGATGCAGCATGAGCTGCAGCAGATGTAGAAAAATAAACGAGATTTTTTGTTAATAATACCAATGGATCAAGAACACTAAGGGCAAGCATAAAAAATGCTGTTGATGTTCCACGCATGTGATGGCTTCGTAACGCAAGAAATGATAAACAATTCGATATAAGAGATACAGGTAAGATAATTAATGGTAAAGTTTTACGTAGAGCATCGGCTATCCATTTTTCTTTCCAACATTCTGATAATAATTCATATGATGTTTCATTAGTTTTCAAGGAAGCATTACGACAAAAGTCTGGTGTATTACCCATCTAAAATAATATTATAATTGTAATTTTGTTGAAAAATGATAGAATTTTATCAAGGATTATATAACGCTGTCAAAAAAATATCAGCATATGTCATGTTTTTTTTCTTGTAATTGAGAAATGTTAGACATAGATAATAATACTATATATATATATATATATAATTACATATACATATATTATTTTCAATCAATACGTCCGTCTACAGATATACATGTCAACAACGACACTGCTAAAGTATAAAATAGAATTTTTTTAATATTTATTTCTATTTCAGGAGATATTTTCCCTCGATTTTTCGATGAATTTTTATTGATAACCAAAAGAAGAGCTATTTCTAGCTACTATTTTTTTGTTTTCTCTTCCGCATGAATTCCTTCTTGTCTGATGATTGAAATTGTTTTCAAAAAAAGGAAATCACACTAATAATCTAACCGGTATGATTATGAGTGCATGCAAAATAGTTCAACTTTAGTCTTTACCCTCGGTGGAAAAAACTAGCTAACTTAGAAAAAACTACCTCATCTGTAATATGACAAAAAAACTGTAGGCATCTGAGCTATGACGATTTAATCTAGTAGAAAAGTAGGAAAGATTCTCTACGGAATAGAGATAATACAATGAATAAACTATTTAAATAATCCCCCGATGAATTCTACAAAAGTAAACTCATATTTGAATAGAAAGTAATATTATATTAACGGACCGAAAATAAAAAGATCATCAGCATATATATATATATATATATAAGAAACTTCTCCAAACGATGTATCTTCATACTATTGTTAATAAATTTCATTTCTGTTTAATATACAGATATATATATATATATATGGTAGCTGTCAATATTGCATTACGTCCAATCTAGAATCTCATATTGGACTAGTCCAATGTCGGATCGTGAATTTGTTTTCGCAAAAGCCTTTATCAATCTCTAGTTCAATGTGCGATTCGAATTCTTTTTTGACTGATATGTTGGTGAGATGATACCGGAAACTTTTGAATCATCGCTGCGACAAGTGAGGATATATTGGAGCATTTGCATTAACTTTTTTTCTATTAGCTGTCGTTCTTAGAAATATCATTTATAATTTCATAGAGCACACCCTCATTTGATCATCAACGATTGAGTTATCTCAATTGCCATCGTCCCAAGACCATACTAGAAAAATAAATTGAATCGCACTTGGACTAGAGATTGATAAAGATTTTTGCGAAAAAAATTCACGATCCGACATTGTACTAGTCCAATATGAGATCCTAGATTGGCCTAGGCCAATCTAGGATTGAGCGCAATCCAACATTGGCCGCTAACATATATATAACTTGATCGTTAAGTACTTATATACAAGGACTCATTTAATGCATTTCTATATATATTGAAGTAAGTAAATATTTATTTTGTTTTTCCAACAAAAATAAAATTATTAACATGCAAAGCGCTTTCTCACAAAATTGCGAAGCAAAAAAACGCGAGTGAAATTTTCTGTACTACACTGAACACAACTCACTTTAACAGAATTATATAATAATTAGATATTATTAGAAAATCTTTATATTTTCAGAAAATGACTTTAAAACTATATCAGACTTCATTTTCTTACCATTTCTTACTAGATATTGTATTAGCATATATGTTTTTTGTCTTATCTTGGAATGATGTTAGTTGCAATACTTTCATAAACACTTGTGATCGGTTTGTCAGATAGAGGGAGAAAGATTAGACTAATGCGTATTTCATTGTGTATTGAGGAGTCAAGAAAGCAAAAGAGAGAACTAACCATCAAGTAAAGAGAAGAAAATAGGAAGCGCGCACAAGAGAGAGAGAGAGAGAGAGAGAGAGAGAATGGGTTGAACCTTATGAAAGAGAAAGCAAAGAAAAAAAAGCATATCACGCAAACGGAAATTGTCAATGGCAGAACTCAACTTGGAGAAAATTCAATTAATAGAAAATTATGTCTTGCTCTCGTTCATATGTCATCATTAACAACGATTCACTATATGTTGTAGTATCGAAGCGTAAGATCTAGATGGTTCAAATTGATTTTCTTTGCCTCTCTATCTATAAATTCATTCTGAATATTTGCAGCGATCCATAAAGTTGAGGATCTACTGTAAAAAAAATTGATTGAAGGCATACATTACGGAAAAAGAAATTAGCCTTTCGAATTCTATAGAAAAATGCTATTTATATCATTTACTTACGCAGACCAATAGATTCCTAGATAGTAAAATAAGTACTTTATCAAGTTCAGCAAGTTGCGTTGTTATTACTTGTACATCCTTGATAAAATAAGCAAAAGCTCATTGGAATATATTAATACTATTCTTCTTTCTTCTTTTTCTTATAAATAATCGAACCGTCTATTTATTCGAAGTATTGAAGAATATAATTTACACTATTCGAACAGCAAGTAAAGATTTTACAGTGACAAACACCGGAAAAGGAAACGTTCATCAATCAGATTCAATCGAATCTACATCCTACCACCTATTCCTAAAGCAAAAAGCCAAACAACCTTTTAAACATATTTGTTCCCCGCCCTCAAGAAAAGAAAAAAAAAGTCATCAACTCATTGAAAAATGGACTTGAATGAACTTTTTACATCAACTCATCTATTCAACAGTAAAATGTTTTTTTCACATAGAAATAATAGTCTAACTTTAAACTTATCAAGTATTTCGTTATTATAGTAGAAAGAAAGAAAGATGTTTCTTTTTGGTAAATATTAATTTTGTTAATTGCAAAACAGGAAACTATTTTATGGTAAATGTCTAGTTCTTTCGAATTAAGCTGAGTGACAATAGCAGATTATAGAAGACAGTTGCTGTACTCGTCAAAAGACAAGACCATTCATGATATAGTAATTGTAATAGTCAAATGTTGTCCTCATCAATACGACTAATTTCTATATTATTATGTCGTCTCTTTTCAATTGAACCTGGTTGATCAAGTTTAACCATGCAAAGATATCAATTATGTAAATTTTATTTATTGAACTAAAATGAATGACAAAAACTAAATATGTTTATACAAATGAGAAGAACTGTTATTCCATATAAATATGATATTGCTTTTTCGAACAAGAATATATGGTGCACAACTATAGGAAAAAAATACAATTAGCTCATGTTTGATTAAGATGAAGATATTGACAAGAAACAAAATAGTTCTGCTGTTTTGACGCGGATCAACGAACATCTGACAAAGAGCTCGTTGTTATATAAGATTATCGTCTCAAATAACAAGATACATATAGAATAGAATAATATTAACTCTTCATATAAAGTTTTTCATAGGGAGGCGGTGGCGAATGATCACTGTTAAATTCGTTCATTGGCTGTGGAGGTGCACTTGGTTGAGGCAACATCGGACGACTTTCTGGTGATTGAACTGCAATAGAACTCCATGGCTGAGGAGCTTGCTGTTGATAGTATTGTGGTTGATAGCCGGATGGACCTGCTTGTATATAAACTGGTTGCGGAACTTGAATAGTAGTTGGAGCTAGATTTGAAAAGAAATTCAAATTTAATTGTTTCTTTCTGTTTGAATAGAAATTCTAAATTTACCTTGATTTCTTTTACGGCTGTTTTCACCGCAACAACATTTAACACAAATAAACACTATTGTAATGCAACAACATAGCATACAAAATAAGATAGTCACCAGTACAACGATGGCCACCTGAAAACAGAAAATATGAATCAAAGTTTTCAAGCTAGAGAGAAAATGCAAAACTGGCTCTGACTAAATATAATTTTGATTTTACGACGGAAATGCCGCAGCTGATTAATTGCTTTACGGCCGGAATTGTGTGCATAGGGCGAATTCTAATACGTTATCAATACCCCGAAGACAGTTCAAGCTCATAGCTTATTACTTTATTATGATATTTCTCAATAGAATACGACAGATTGCCCTAAGGGACACAATAAATGCTGACTTGAAAATTTAACTTCAAGGCTCTCTTGAGAAAGTTTTCAACAGGATACTTCATCAGAAAATAAATGATCAGCTCCTTTGATATTTTCATGTATGAAAATATTAAAAAGCAGTGATTTATAAAAGATGCATTTTTGTTATTGCTACGAGATTATTTGAAATTTTCATTTATTTTTAAAATCAAAGCTATTTTTGTTCAAACTTGTTTCTACGAAATTCCAAAATAACTATTTCACCTGTTCTTAATTAGAGACCTGTGGCATTCTATGCAAAGAAAAGTCAAGGTAAGAACATTGTATGCCAGCAGTAATCAACTAAGGATCGAACCAGTTTTCAGAGTATTCATGCTCAATTAGCAGCCTTACATGAGCATGCTTCCGGTTCAAAGCGGCTAATTGATTAGAACACTCTCCTCCTTCGATATAGTGAAACAATTATTTTTTCCGTTCAAAATCGTGTACCCTAAAAATTCTCATGCAGGTATAAACCAAGAATGTCGGTCAGCAAATCAATACTCTACTGGTTCTAGTTTACGAAGCATTGATATTTTCATTACCTGTTTGGCCATTCCCAAAATTTCCTCGCCACTAAAAATAAAACAAGAACAATGATAATTAAAAATACCTCAAAAATACCACAAGCTCTAATACAAATTAATAATATAGCACTTCAACAAATAAATAAAAACTGATTAGTATATATATATATATATATACGTATATATCAGCACAAAAAGGTAACGAGTGAAAGAAACAAGCATTGGTGATTAACTTCATTCACTTTAAAATAAAAATTCATTCAATCCAGTCACTTTATTTTTTACACACTACATATTTTCTATTTCGCCGTTTTTACTATAAATAACAAAAATTAGTTGTACAACAATTAGAAGAATAAATAGTTAAGTGAGAGAAGGTATAAAGCAACTTAATATAGGTACTCATTTTATGAATGTAATATAAAAATACCTTTCAGTATTTTTAATTGCTTTTGCTATATTCATAAAAATACCAACAGTTTGTACAATTCTATAAATATTGATAGACTATATATATATATATATATCTCATTTTGAAGCTCACAAATGAAAATAGAAACATAGGAAATTTTTCTCAAGCAATCAACTTACTCCATTATTTGACGACGTTGACGTTGATTTATATTTGACTCTTCAGTTCGTGTATTAAAACGTGTTACTCTAGAAGAAGAAGAAATAATAAAAGTAAACTAAGAATTTTTATTGTACCTAATTAATGTTCGTTCAGTTGTTGTCTGCCAAGATTCTTCATGAGAATGATTTAAAATCGCGTTACTGTTCGGTTCATGTTCAGCAACATCAATATCTGAAATAAGACAACAGCAAATCAATAGAACAACACAACTTTATTTTGTTCTCTTACGGATTCTTGATTGTTGAAGACTGTTGACATTACTATCTTTTTGAGCGTTTATTAAAACAAATAGAAGGTTAAGTGAGAACGTTAAACCATATAGAAGCATTCTGAATAAAATATACTATTAAATAATAATAACAAAAATTTTTTCATTCATCATCATTATTCATCCGCTCATGAGTCATGAAAATTCGATTAAATAACCAATCGGCCGAATTCAGAGAAAGATGGCGGTAAGGTTAGAACTCAAGATAGATGACAACGTAGAAACACTGTTAAATCATTTGTAAGTAATTTACTATGTTTTGAGTTTTCAGACAGATGCTTTGTCATATTAACTTTTTTTTAATAGAAGCGCAAAATAAAAATAACAAGACGACAGAATGCACATAAAAATATCTTATCTATTTCACAGACAATGGCGTCGAATGAGATATCTAAATAGTTTTTCGTATTAAAGATTACTTGGTCCCTGGCCACTCAATCTTTGTTTCCGGATTCCGATCAAATCTGACAAGATCTCGTCGAATCTAACCAGTATTTGATCGGAATCCGGTGATATCCTGGAGTCGGTTTCTGGGAGCAAGAATTCCGGCAACTATTGACGGGAGCCGATCGGCATTTTATGAATCCGACAGGATCCTGGTGATCGTGAGTGCCTTGGGGGGCTGTAAAAGATCGACTTTTTTTTTTATAAAACGCTGATCTCAAAGGCAATGATTTCCTATTTTTGAAAATATTTTTATGATGTTTTTCATTGGCATGAATAGACATGAAATAATAGTTGAAAGCGATCTCATGGCTTATTAAGTGACGTAATCACTTTGCCAATAAATATATAGAATTGTTTAAAGATACCTTTTATTGATTTGATTAGAACTATAAACTCTGCATGACATAGAGCACAAATGTTCTCAGAAAGACAATGATGGTTGCCGTAGGTCAATATAATATTTGTTCAAGAAAATAAAAAGAATCCGAATAATCATAGACGGATTGTTTATTTTTAATAATGTTATATTGCTACACATTGAAATAAGAAAAAGTATTAACCATCCGCTTTAATATTTTGAATTGTAACGGTTATTGAAATTTACTCTGGCAACGAAAGTGAAATCAGAATTTTTATTTATTTTTGAAGATTATAACACTTGATATTGTTCTACAAATTTTAGACTGCCATGCTTCCAATTAGAAATGGACAAGAACATTCGACTATGGCGCAGCGTAATGAATACAATAGCTATTCGACATACTATTCTAAGATTTACATCCAATCGGTAAAATTGCATATTATAGAAACTAATGGCATACTTCAATACTTTCATGTTAACTAATACTTCCATTCTAATTTTGATAGCCTTCAATACAAACAGTTGTATAATAGAAGTATTAATAATTAAATCGATTCTCTTATCTATATATTGACAAGGACCGAGCTCGCTGTTACATTGTCTATGTTAAACACTTAATCATTCATTATCATAGATATCGATTTGCCTGCATTGATTTGCTTCTCGTCTATATCGTGTTATAAATGACACTTCAATATTATTTTATAAATAATTGTCTTATATTCAATATTTGCATTACTCTTTGAATAATTTAAAAGGTTAAGTACAGTCTTTACGAAGTAACATTCTTTTAGATAAAAGTATGAAATGTTAAAATACTTAGTTCTATGATTAGAAGAAGGTGAAGAAAAAAAAAGAATTTGTTTGTTCACTGCATTAGTTAGTTACTTAATGTTGACTATCATTAATTTGGCAAATTTTGATTTTTAATAAATTAACCAAGTGTACTTGTTCTTGTATAGAATTGAGGAGAGAAAAAAAACAGTAAAAGTTATTTTAGATTATGAATAATTTAAGATGAATAGACGATTTTTGTTGTACATTTTATTGCTGACACGTCCATTTAAATAGGCTAGATCTCAACTCATCTATCTAATGTTGTCTGTTCAGAACAATAGATTGAACAGTGTCTCTACTGATATAGTGTAATGATGAGTAACAACCTACATTGATAATATCTGTCAAACGAATGCACTTTTTTTGTTAATAACCTTATACTGTCCCAAAGTGTATTTTTAAATGATCCAATGTGTCACATGGGACGAGTTTGTAAAATGATTAGAAAATCCTATGATGAACTTTAAATAACAAAAATGAACACTTAGTTTCTCTAAAAGAATTATTTTTATAAAAGTTTTTGAATTGCACATAAAAAGATTGCTGATGAAATAAAAGAATCATTTATTTTCGAAATGTACACGTATTGCTTTGAAAAATAGGCCAATGTTATATGATTTTTTGATTATGTCTCAATGAAATTCGTATTCATCTTTGTTTCTTTTCAAAAGAACAAACACAAAACAACAATACACAATAAAAAAAAAAGAAAAGAAGTAAATTCTGAGATGTTTTTTATATATGTTGACTATCGTAAATCGGAAAAGGAAGGTGACGCATTCGCTTTATTTAATTGAAAAAGCCATTTAATAATTCTTGCATTGCGTTCAATCACAGTTACGGATGTTGATGGTACAACTGTTCTTTTTATATTTGACAAACTATTAGTACTATCAAGTGTTGTTTGATCCGAAAACGACAATAGACTAACACTTTCAAATGCAGCACAATCGGAAGATTTTGTCGTTGAATTTGGAGTCGATATTGAATGTATGGAAGATCGTAATGAAAGATCTAGAGAATCTAATCGAAATCGATCATCTTCATATTCGTCATAATTATAAGGAGAGCGACGTGGTTGTCTAAGATCAAGAAGAGAAGAAGAAAAAAATATCATAGATAAATGATTTAATTGTCGTAAACGTAAAACAAAAAAGTAACATACGCCATTCGAAATGAGGGCGTCACTCGTTCTTGATGTTGTTCATTTAATGTCTTATTACTTCGAAGCGTTTGTCGATTACGTAAAACTTCTTGACTTTTGACAAAAAATGCTTTCGTTTCATCTAATAGTTCTGTTGCTGAACGATGTGAACACTGTTCTATTGATGTAAAATAGAATATGTTAAGTTAATTAAATCACCTTTTCTTTTCGTTCAACAGTATGTTACATGTATATGAAAAATTATTATCATAACAAAATCAATTACGGTATCATTTATAACTGTTATGAAGTAAATGGCTTTCTATCGTAAACTCTTCGATGATTTATGACTTAGACAAGGTTATATGACATTTAACAAACATGATCATTACAATGACACGAAGATTTTGCCTGCTTCTGTCATTCGTTTTAATGATATGATTTAAACGACATCTTATTACATCATCTGTCTGGATCAGATGAGTGTCAAAATGAATATTTGACTCATCCGATAATCAGTCGCGTCAATTTCTGTTGTTCTTTAGTCTATTTTTTTGTTGTAAAGTTGTTGATCGGATGAAAGATAAGTGAGACGACAGATCATTTGGAAATGATGATGACTATCCGTTGATAAACATGTTTGCTTCATTAACATTTCTCATGTAAATATGAACGACCTAATCATTGCTTTGCGCAAATCTCCTGTCTCATCGTAATCAATACGCAACAAAACGTTGTTAGAACGAAAGGAAATAAAATAACGAACAGCTATTTGATCCATACCGACTACTTGAAAAATGAAACTTGGTGTAGCTCGGATTAACTTCAAATTAAAATCGAAAAACTTACTTGAAGTAGATGCTGCAGTTGTTGACCGGAGACGCTCTAGTTTAACGTAGAATTCATCATTTCTTGTTTTATCACTATTGTTCATAAGTTGAGGCCGTCGTCTATCGATATAGTGATGCTGCTGATATTGTTGCATCGTCGTCTTATTAGATGTATGTACGTACGTATGTATGTGCTCAGTCGTTCGTCGCTCACACTTAGTACGCTTTCTATTCACCGACGATGTTTGGAGTATAATGAGAAAAGTGACTACGAACGGGCAAGAAGAAGTGAGAGAAGGAGACGATGAGGAAAGTAGGACAATAAGAGAGCAAGGGAGAAAGGAGAAAAATTGTTCAACCCTAAGAAAAAGAGAAAGCAAGGCTGATGAAGTAGCTGACTGTACGTGTCTACCTTGAATTCAGAAATATGTTAAACAAGAGAAAGAAGATAACCTTGCCTTAAGAAGTTCAAAGCACGGAAGAAGAATCAGACCGGTCCTCTTCCTGTTTCTATTACATAATCTCTTATTTATAAAGTTCAACTTATGATACATGTCACTGACTGACTTCGATATTGAACAGTATCATCTGTTTTGAATGTTTATATATATATATATATATATATATATATATTATATGCCTGACTATTCATCATTTTAATCGCCAATTTTATCGTTGCGTGTTTAGTAAGCATTCATGTCCCAGTGAAACAGAGGCACATTGTGTGGGCGTTAATCATTTGGCTATTTTTCAAAGTTCACTTCTTTCTATAATTGCTATTTACTACTATCTTATTTCTAGTGAATGGAATGGTCAAATCAGGAGTACTGTACAATAAAACAAGGTAAATAGTCGGCTGAGCATATTTGACTATGGCATGTAAAACGAAGACTTTTATAGTTTACAAGTTCAACTACTAAATAGAATACACATTGATGACTGTCGCTTAAGTGTGAACAAAGAAGTGAAAACAACAAAAAGAAAAGAAAAAGAATCGCGTAACTTTGATCGAATCAATGATGTGTGAGTTATTGTTATACAAGCTGCAGGTGGCTACAAAATGAATTGAAGATGTGTTTTTATAAGCAATATCGTCTCTAGACATTGTTAACATATATCATATTACTTTTTGACATTTTTTTACGTGATTCATTTAGATAAACTGTCTACGATAAGTGGCAATTGAATAATAATAAAAAAGAAAGAAGCAAAAAATATAATCAGTTCAAATAAAATAACATGAAGCAAACAATTAGAGCGCATGTTACATGAACAAATGTAATAGAGCTTTGCATACATGAAAATGTGGCTAGATGTGTTAGAATAATAGCTGCAAGGAGTATTATGCATATACAATATTGAAAGAAAAATGTCAAATTTTATTCTTCGAGCGACGAAAAGTCATATCAATTTGAATGTAATTTTTTCTTCTTCTATCACAATCAATTTTAAAAACTCACAACCAATATCTATATCCGATTAATGATAATAAGAAAAAATATGATATAACTAGATAGTTGAACATTCTAGAATTTTTCTGGTATCAAGTGTCAATTTGTCATTTGGCATACAGAATACAAGTAGATGTCGTGGTCATGTTTTTCGTCGGAAGTTTCATGACATTGATACTTTTCAAATAGGTTTGAGCACAAAAAATAGTATGGAAAAATTCATTGTGAATTCTTTTCTTTTGATCAAAGTTTATATTTCTAGTGAAGAAAAAAAACCTAAATTGATATTTAACTCGCCCTAAAGATCTTTTTTTTCAAAGAAATACCTTACTCATTAATATTTATAAAATTCTTTTATATTATCACGTGCATTATTCATCAAAAAAAAAGACAAATATAGTAGATCATTATTTTTGACATTCAATTAGATAATTTATCATAAGGGACAGCCTTGAAATCCTCTTTCATATTTGGCAACTTTTTGTATTTTTCACAGCTGCCATTTCATCCTTTCGTTTTTAATCTGTATTAGAAGATTAACAGTAAACATATTTGTCTATTTACTAATGAGTTCATGTTTAAAAATGAAAATTTCATCACACAATCTATGCCAGAAAGAAGTAATGAACCGAGAAATTTATGTTTTTCGATGCAATATGCTTTGTTTTGGCGATTGAAAATAAATCCTGTATTTGACACTTTTAGCGATCAACGACGCAGTTGACTACGAGAGTAAATTTAATTATCAGGAATTCAGAATTGTAATACACATTAATCTTTTTGAATACGATATATTGATAGAGAATGACAGAAGAAATTTAAATTATTAATTTGAAGTCTTTTTTCTTGATTATATAAGTACATTATATTGTTTAATAACTAAAGTGACGAAATATTCTTAGAAATAGAAATAGAAAAAGAGAATCTAGAAGAACACTAAAAGGTCTTTTTTTGAGCAATTTATTTTGTATCAGTACCTACTTGCAAGATCAAGAATTCTTCTTCTTCTTCGAGAAAAAACCTGAAGATCAAATTGCTTCTTCATTTTTTCTTTCAAGGATTAATTTGGAATCGATATGACTGTTTTCTATGGATACAGTGGATGGCGAAGTTATTTAACACGATGTTTGTTTTTAATATTTTCTTAGATAAGTTAAGCCATGGAAAAACCTAGAATCTAGAATAATGGAGAGAGAGAGAGAGAGAGAGAGAGAAAGAGCTCTACAAAATTACATGCCTCTTAGCTTCTTACGACAGTTTTTAGCTCAGACACTGTTATCTGATCGAACGTTTTTCTGTAGGAAATAGGAAAAACTACTTGTGAGGCTTCTTTAATATTGATATATGTCAGCCAAAAAGTTTCATCGATTTCTGTAGTCTGAGTAAATGCTCATATACATATTTTATTTTTATTTTATTTTGCTAATAGTCGTAATCTTTATATTTATTTAACAACCACTATTATTTGCTCTATAGCGCTTTTCAAAGCGAAGTCCCAGATTGCGTTTATAAATTTTCCGTTATTTTTAGCAGTTGCGACCGTAGGAAGGAATTAGAAATAAATTTTATTAAACAAATTTATTCATTACTTTTATATATATATATATTTATCTACACAATCTTTGGCTAATAAATGACAAAGAGAGAATTAAAAAAAAGGAAAAATAATTTTTTTTCTTCTTTGTCCTGTCTATGGAATACTTAGACAACAATATAAAAAAAAGGTTAATATTCGCATAGTCAGAAAATATCGTGTCATAAGAAGAAAAAAAAGTAGTAGAAAAAACAACAGATAAGCAGGATCTATTAGGATGTAAGAGGAAAAACTTGATAACAGACATAGACTAAATGATTTTCAATGATTGAATGAATTAGAAAGGAAACGCATACATAAAATATTCACAAGTGAGTACATGGTGAAAATTAGCACAATGAAACACTTCCGACATTTGTTTCTTGTTATTTTTCATAATTAAAAATAGCCTTCTTTTTTTTCTACCATGCTTAAATCATTTAGAGAAAAAAATGCGTGCAACAAAGAGAGTTAAATTTGTTGATTCATCAACAAATTATAATGATGCTCATGTTATTCTAAATGTTGGTGGAGTGAGATTTGAAACTCAACGCACCACATTAAAAAAATTGCCAGCTACACGTCTTTCAAAATTAACTCCACAATTATCTTTTTATGATCCGGTATTAAATGAATATTATTTTGATCGACATCCGGGTGTATTTTCTCAAATACTTAATTATTATCGTACAGGAAAACTTCATTATCCAACAAATGTCTGTGGGCCATTATTTGAAGATGAACTTTCCTATTGGGGAATACAACGCGAAGAAGTTGAACCTTGTTGTTGGTAAACGAGAATTTAAATGAAAAAGAAAATGAATCGTTTTGTTATTGTATGTAGGATGACATATACAAAACATCGATCAACACAAGAAACCCTTCAAACACTTGATTCCCTAGGATTGGATACTGTACGATCAAATATGATTGATCTGATTAAAAAGTTTGATTGGGAAAATGATTTACATTTCATGACAACAGGTCAATTACCATTAGCGAAACGTATTAGATTGATAACATGGCAATTGTTTGAGGAGTCGAGATCATCAATAATAGCGAAAGTAAACGAAAATTTTTTCTTGTTCTTTACTGAAATGAATTATTAAAAATTGTAGATTATTGCATTCATATCGATGTTATTTATTCTTTTATCTATAACAACTTTTGTTCTTCGTACATTAACAATATTTGAAGTAGCCGAATATCATTTTGTTGATGTTTATATTGGTGACAATTCAACTGAAAAAACACCTGTACAGAGCACTGAACGAATAAAAATAGTTGACGGTTTTGAAATAATTGAATGGATTTGTAAGATTATAAAAAAAATTTCAAGAAACAATATTGAATGAATGAATTTCGATAGACTAGAATAAGATATTCTCTCATTCTAGGTAATTCTTGGTTTGCATTCGAAATTGTTCTACGATTTATTCTTGCTCCATCAAAACGAGCATTTTGTGTGTCAATACTGAATTGGATTGGTAAGAAAAATTCTCTCTAATTGTTATATTTAAATTTTACAAAAACAAATGAAAATTTCTAATAGATTTTCTTGGTACATTCTTTTTCTTTTTTACTTACATATTATATAATGTATTCAATTATGATGGTCATCAAGCACCATTAGATCTTCTATCAACAATAAGTGTTGCACGTATGTTTAAATTAATTAATCTACATCCACGTTTAAAAATTATAACAATATCCATATCGAATTCATCGAGATTATTAGTATTATCAATGTACTTTTGTTTTGTTGTTATTTTGATAGCTGGTGCAGCATTGTACTATGCTGAACGTATAAGTAATATGTCGAAAAGTCAAATTATATCAGTTATGGATGGCATATGGCTTGCATTAACAACAGTGACTACAGTTGGTTATGGTGATATTGTACCGAAATCACTTTTTGGTATGATACTTGGTGCAATAACAACAATATTTGGTGTATTGATTATTGATTTACCAATGCCAATTATTAATGAAATATTTGATAATTTTAATAGACATTTATTAGCTCGACAACAACTGCCTAAACAACGCCGACGTGTAACACAGGTGGCTATACCAAGAAAAATTAAACCATTTATTCCAACCAACGGAAATGTACATCATCAACATAAGACTTGAGGTTTTTCTGCATTTTTTACGTCAAAATTTGTCACTACTGACAAGTCTAAACATTGTTAACGTTTAATGCATGGTTGATATTATAAAAGATCTAAATGAGTTTCTACTTGAAATCAACGTCATTCATTTCTTTTTAGTTTTAAAATTTTGAGTTGTTTTGTTTAACAAGATTTTTTTTCAGCATGATCACATCTAATTCTTCAAGTTCAATTAACCATTACAGTAAAATTACGTATTGTATATGCAGATTTGTTGTTATAAACGCCTAAGAATACACATATTTTACTTCTAAGTATAAGTAAAGGCTAAATTTATTAATTTAGTAAGAAAATAAGAGAAAGAAACCAATATCAATGATAACCCGTAGCACGTTTTAATAAAATTCTTAAAATATTCACATCAAAGAAACCGGTGAGTGATGCAAAGTTTTATTTCCGTTACGTATTATCTAAGGAAGCCGACATGACTGAGTGGATATGTTGTTCGACACATATTCACAATATACTGTGTTCAAATCTCAGTATCACCAGTTATGTAATGACCCTGGTCAAATCACTAACAGCTACTTGTCTCGGATGACTCATCCGATAGTGTATTGATTGCATCGCTAGTCAATATGCAGAGCCAAAAACAACCCCATCATAGATGTCACAATCACGAGATACTTATGATAATCGCCAACCCATATGGCAGAAGCGTTAAATGGAAAGGAGTACAGATACCATTGTCTGTAAAAAGAAAAAGACGAAAGAAACCAGCGCACGTGAACCCCAGCGCTGACCCCAACGGGCGATAAGCTTATGGGATAAGGGGGAAGGTGCAGGTTTGGAACCCCCAGCAAGCACCTCAGCACCTTTTCAGCACATTCAGCACCTTTTTTATAGTGAGATTTACTTCAGTCGTATGGAAATGAATCGGAAAAACTACCTTCATTTTCAATAGTAGAGGTGAATTTTTTCTTGAATTATTCACAGAATCTGAATGAGAATTATTTCAGAATAGGAAAGCCAACAGAAAAAGAAAAACTTTCTTCGAAAGTAACTGTATCAAATTGCAAAATGATTTATCAAAAAGTTTGATCCTTCTTTTATTAGTGTGAGAACTAAAACTGAGCTCTGATTATTTTTCAGAAGTTTATTTTTCATTTTATCACCATTGCATTTGTACAGCTTCTGCTTTCTCTCAGGTATGAAAAAAACATTGCACGAAATGTCATACTCCATGGTAAAAAGAAACATGCACATAATTTTATTAGATTGAAAATCATCATTGAATTTGGATTATTTTCCACAATTTTGTTGTGTATTTTATAAAAACTCAATTTTTAACACCTGAACTCCCCCTCAAGGGTCGAAAAACCTTTTTTGTTCTGGTTTTAATATAGATAGTTACATTTCCATAAAGCTAAGCTTTCTGATTACAAATATATCTCACGAGGGAACGTTTTCAACTGTCCAATCGCTTTTGAGTTCGAACTTTGTGCAACAGATAGACCCCAATGTATAGTATGAAAAAACCCAAAAGATAAAGTGCCAATCGGTCTTCTGTCCAAAGTTATAGGCATTTTACTGGAATTTTAGCCTATTACACGGTATATACCAAAAAACCGAATGATAGTATTTCGACCTGTGATTTTGCTCAGAGGTAGGTCTATTTATGAGTAGAGTGTCCTGAAAATTTCAGTCTAAAAGGGCGTTTCCTTCCTGAGATATTTAAGTCTCAAAAATGACTCGTATTCTCTAAAAAATGCTAGAATTTTCTGTTCTTTTGGGACCTAAATATCTCAGGAAGGAAACGCCCTTTTCGACTAAAATTTTCAGGACACTCTACTCATAAATAGACCTACCTCTGAGCAAAATCACAGGTCGAAATACTATCATTCGTTTTTTTGGTATATACCGTGTAATAGGCTAAAATTCCAGTAAAATGCCTATAACTTTGGACAGAAGACCGATGGGCACTTTATCTTTTGGGTTTTTTCATACTATACATTGGGGTCTATCTGTTGCACAAAGTTCGAACTCAAAAGCGATTGGACAGTTAAAAACGTTCCCTCGTGAGACCAATATTATTTTCAACACAAAATTCAGTTATTTGCCCAAGTAGCCTAGAAAATTCTTCTTCACTTCGAAGTTCATTAATTCGATTAATAACAGCACTGGTCAAGGTATGCGCTTTGCCAAAATCAACGAATTTAACTAGAATAATTATAGAAAAAGGAATACCACTCTCAAACAGGCATTTCTAACATTGTAACTAACAGTAAATAAAAAACAGAAATCTTAGAAATTTTCATATTTTTTCCGGGTGGTAGGGCGGCGCCCTATCATGCCCGCCCCTGGTTACGCCACTACAGTCACACTATCAGCTCAGTACATTTCCTTTCCGAAAATAGATGTCGCTATATTCACCACGCTTATATGCTATCGTTCTTGCTGGACTTGGACAAATAAATGTTAACCAAAGTTGTTGATTGTTTTGAAGAATGGGCGAGGCTAAAAATTTGATAGAAAATATCTCATCTTATTTTTCGGCAAAGATTAGATGATAAACGTTAAATTCACGAATTTTCTGAGATTTTGTTAACAGAATGTGCTTTTCTTTGGTTTTCTGCCAGAAATTATTATAAAGCTTTCAAGAATCTGGTAAATAGTATAAGAAGATTTCTCAAAAAGTTTGACAGGTTTTCAATATTTAGAAGGGATTAGCTCTTCGGATCCCCTTCCTAATCGATAAGCCTGATAATAACATTTACATCAAAGATCCATAAATTACTTTCGTTAGATATTTTACTTCATAATTGATAATCGATACTTAGCAACTTGAGCTTGGAAGTTTATTGAAGTCATTGAATAAAATCTCTAATTAGCTTACACGTGAATATATTTAAAATTAACGAACTTAAATAAATGAGAGTTCGTTAAAAACCTAAATTTTCATGAAAGCGCGGTAAATTATTTCACGCGTGAAAACAGATACGAGTTTTCATGATATTTAACGCGTTATTAACTGTTAAAAAGTCATTAACGCATGAAAAACCGTGAAAAATCTAACGCATTTTCACGAGTTTGTGGAAGATAACGAAACTTCATGAATTGCTTTTCATTAAACCTCGTTAATTTTTGATTTAACAGTTTTTTTTGTTAATTTTGAAAATCAATTCGTTAAATGCCTATCTATTTTTACATGGGCACAAAATAAACAAAATGGAAAATGCACAAAAACAAGTTTCTACCAGAGACGTGCGCAGGACATACTTTTTGTGTTCTCAAAAAATGAGTACACTCTAGATTCGGTCAGTGTATCCGGCCGTTAACACGATAACTCTTGAAAGCCTCATCCAGTTGTCTTGAAATTTTGTACACAAAATGATCCCATCAATATCTCAGTCGAGTTCGAAGATGAGAAGGATCCGTCAACAAATGACTGAGTTATCGAAAGAATTGTCATTATTGACCAGATCATCCCTGACCGGGACGGGGGGGGG